AGTTAGGTTCAATTGCAATTCCCTGGGTTGATTTACTGTTGATTAGACTGCGAAAGATCCGACAGTAGCTTGGAATCTCTTAAGCTGACCAAGCCCTCTCAGTCTAACTACCCGGCAGACGACTAGTCTTCACCGGGATAGAAAGCTGAGGCTATGAACACAGAACTCCACTACTGGCGTCAAGAACACCAGTACAAAGCAGTAAACTGGCTAACTCTCGTATAGCCAATCTCCTACTATCGAATGAAGAGGCTCTAACAACCTAATCAGATTCTATCTATCTCAGGTTGCAGCAGAAATTGAGAAAAGCTGATCAGACTCCAATCAATTCAATAAACATGCATCATTCGATTAAAATCAAACAGTAACATCATCCCAAGTCATTACAATCAAATCCCTAACGCAAGGAACTAGGGTTCTTCATACCCAAGTGAGAGAGAGGTTCTACTCCATAGAGAGAGAAAGGAAAACAGAAATCAGAGTAGCCATACTCATAAAGATGAGGAAAATCTGCTCTGGGATGTCAATCTTCACTCCTAGGGACGCAATCTGGGCTTCAATGATGAGAAATCCACTCCAAAATAGCTCCTAGGGTTTGTCCTTCGCTCTTTCTCTCTCTAAAACTCTGTTTTTTGCTCAGAAAATCGAATTCTTCTTCCTTGGCTCGAATCTGCCTCCAAAAACCCGACTCTGGGCGAATTACGGCCAGAATTACGGCCGTAATCACGTCCTGCCCGTAATTCGCACCAAAAACGCACGTTTCACTTAAGCTGCAGGAGGAGGGGTTACGCCCGTAATTTCCCAATTACCGCCAGTAATTTGGGAATTACGGCCGTAATTCTTGGGGTCTTGCCCGTAATTTTATCACCGCGAGGGAATTCTGGGTAGAAGGCTCGGCCAATAAACTACGGGCATGCCCTGGCCAATTACGGCCGTAATTTGTCAGGGGCTGCCCGTAATTCTGTCTCCGCTCCTGTTCAAAGCTTCGTTTCTCCCTCGTCCGGACTCCAAATCAGTCGCCGTTTGAACCCAGATGCTCGTAGTCTCGTCCTCTTTCTTTTCATGACAAGCTTGCATGATTCTTTGTCCATAAAGTGAGGTAGAAATCCATTCTTCTTCAGGTCATACCCGAGTTTCTTCTCCCGAATCGTCAATTGATCTCTGATTGACTTGAAACTTGCGCCTATGCTTCACTTTATGTGCTAGGACCTGAAATGTGACAAAGGAACACAACCTAGCGTAAAATAGGCCAAGGAACAATCAATTCGAGCCAAAATGGGCAGGAAACCAGAGTGAAAACACGTGCAAATACGATGCTATCAATATCCATGCATTAGTTGTTGGTCAGCAGAGTGGACCGCTGTTATGCGCATGTTTGTCGATAGGCACATCACTTTAAAAGTATTCCATAACTTGGACCTAGTTAATGAGCCATCAATCGTTTGTTCACGTCCAGCATCAGTTATAACTGAGAGTGTTTGGCGAAAATCTCCACCAAAGAGAACTGTATTCCCTCCAAAAGGTTTATAATGATGTCCATTCAGTGGAACATTCAATATGTCGCACAAGCTGCGATCTACTGCCTCGAAAGCCTGCCGATGGGTCATTGGTGCTTCATCCCAAATGATTAAGGATGCTTCTTTTAACAGGTCAGCTAAATCTGTTCCGTGTTTAATAGGGCATGTCGATGTTGCATCTAGAATCAGAGGAATTTTGAACCTTGAATGTGCAGTGGTTGCTTTGGGAAGTAGTGTTGCTGTTATTCCCGATGATGCAACCAGTACAACTATCTTCCCCAAACTCCTGAGTCTTGCTGTAATGACATTATAGAGATACGTTTTGCCAGTACCTCCGTGACCATATAGGAAGAATGCCCGACCCATCTTGTTGAGGACTGAATTGATGACAGATGTATATACATTAGTTTGCTCAGGATTCAATGAATGCAGCATAGAGGTTGCTAATGCACGCTGCTGGTCTGTATCGAAGGCCAGATGCTCGTTAATGAGTGGGTTCTCTCCATCATCATGTGAACCATCAGATGGGGTTGGGAGATTAAAGTCCTCAAGTGTCATTGAAAGAGAGCTCAACATAGCCTGCAATTCACAAAGTACCCAGTTCTGTATTCGTTCATCAGTGGGCTTCTGGGTTTGATCTCTGAGATCTTTGGCTAACCTATACGCGTAGTCTTCAGCCATTGATTTTCATGATGAATTGAATAAAGCTGCTGGACTTGGAACTTCACAGAACATGAGCATTGACACGAAAGTGCTCCGTATCACCCGTGGCATGCTGGAAGTCGAAATATCGGACAGAACACGTATCCATTCTGAAGTATCTGATAACAGACCCAATTTTTCACAAGTTTTTTCAAAATCTGGACACAGTTCTCCATTGACAGTTCTGAGATGAGCATAGCTAAGAGCGCCACGGACTTTTGTGAGCACCATTCGGAGGAAAAATACGTCGCCAGAACCTGGTGGAACATATGCAACCCTCCCTATCGCAAATCCTTTTTTGCGAGGGTTCCATTCTTTACAATCAGGAAGCCAGGTGTAATTATTTGGTATCTGTGCATATGTCAGGACTCTTGCCTGAGGATCCCTGCGATTAAGAGCAAACCATTCTGTCAAATGTGTCTTTCCGACATTAGGATTCCCCAAAACATTTAGCACATTGGACTGTTTCTTATAAGGTACTTTTTGCTGACCATCCAAGTGAACACCCAAACGCACCACTGATGGTTCTCTTACATGAATTGGATACTCATTAAGCCTCTATATGGCTTCATAAGTTGACAGCGATCGGCAGTCTATGTACTGTTGGATTTCATCTCTGTGCCTCTCAGATTGCATTTCTGGATTATTTTGCGGTGCATCAGCGTTTTCAGCAATAACCAATGATCTGTCCGGCCCTTTTGTCACATATTTAAAGAGATACTAAATAAGTTTACCCTTGTGACATACCTCAAAATTTATATGAGCCTGCATTCTGACCAGCAAATTCCTGTTGTATGGAACAACATGTCAATTGTCAAGTACTGTACTTCCCTTTTGAACCTCAACGCCAGTGTTTGATCTTCTATATACTACATTTCCGAACTTGTCAAATGTTGTGGCTGAGTTGAACTCCTTTGGGAATTGTTTGGAACATTTGACATTCGCGCGTTTTTTCTTGTCTCGCATACATGGTGCATTTGTATTTGCTTCGCCGCATGGGCCATGCAACATGAATTTACAGACAGCTTCATATCCAACTGGATCTTGTTAAGGGTCTGGAATTTCAGCTGAGATTACCTCGTCAATGTCGGCTAACGTCCTCAGTTTATTCTCTTCAGACAACCAAACCAGCAGATGTATGTGGGGCAAACCCTTTTTCTGAAACTCCACTGTATACATAATTGTGGCAAAGTAAAGAAAGTTAAAATTGCGAATATCCAAATGTGTATTTTGGAAAGCATTGAACCGGCGGAACTTGTATATTGATATTAAATGAGCAACCTATACTTACTTGCAATTATTTTTCCAAAGTAGTAGTTTTTCTTAATGTCATCTATGAGAATGCTTAGCTTAGCGTGGAAGACCCTTGAAACCACCATCGGTTTATCTGAGCTATTTGGACCAACAACATCCCGAAAGGCTTCGGTGATTTCTTCCTACAATGAATTATAGGTGAATGTGATGAATAAATCAGGATTTCCAAAGAATTCGACCACTGCCATAGCATCATGATATAGTTGTTGCATATATCGCGGGCTACCTATATAGGTACCCGGGAGTACAATATGGCCCATTTTATCTCCGTCAAGATCACCCCGTGCCATCGCGTCCTGTAGTCCTTGATAAACCTCGGCTCTAAGCTGTGGCTGATGATAGCGCAGAAAAGCCAGCCTGTTTAGTTCAATCGATGAGTAAGCGTCAATACAAAAATGCTGAAGAGCTTTTCCAGCCTGAACAATCATGTGACCTTCGTCATTGCGATACTGAAGCCTGAATGCATAGTACTCATGCTGAGTAACAAACTGCCTACGCATAGAAGGCGGGCAGAAAGCTGACCTGTATTTGATGAGTGGATGGTAACCATCCTCTCCATATGGAAATAGAAGTGGGAAATGTAACGCATCAAATTTTGGATTGAGACTCGTAATCCTCTTCAAACCCTCATAGACATGATCAACTATTATATCGCGATCATCTTTGTCTGGTACGAAATCACCTGGTATAAGCGCTGCAACCTCAGTGCTGCTAGGCAAATCATATTGCCGATTCCTGCTCTTCGCTCCAAATATTCGTAGCTTTAAATTCGTTGTTGAAGAATCCAGAAGGTGCTGCCGAACTCGCCTAAAGGTTTTGACGAGTTGATTATGTTGATCCAGCATTTGGAGCAATGAAGTGAGTAGCTCTGGCATAAGTAGACCATCACGGGATGCGAAGTTCGCTAAGCGATTGTCGATTTCATTCTCCGGTTCAAAAATATAAAGCTGGGCAAACTTTGTTTTTTCACCATCAGGAGGCAGCAATGAACCGATCCTACGATAGTTTTCTCCACATATAACCATCGAATACGGTCCCCTACCAGAAAGAGAGCGAGGGTCAATAGAAGCACCAAATGATGTAAAACACAATGAACCGTTATATGGCCTGATGTTATCTCTGAAATATTTAGACATTGCGCCACCATCAAACTGCAGAAGCTCAGCTAGCAAACGCGGAGGTTGGGCTATATACGGCAAACCAACACGGCCTTTCTGACAGCAGAGTCCATAGATAGGATCAGTTGTTGCTCGGCGGCGATCAAGCCTCTCCAAATCCCAAAACAATGCACCACAGAACTTGCAGACACATTTTGATTGACCTATGTTCAGAATATCATCATGGAGTGGCTTTCTAGCCGTGGGAATGGACCTAAAACAGGATGGGGTTCCAGATGAGTTCTGTAACCGGCAACTACCAGTTTTCCGCTGTTCAGCTTGCTTCACTTGATTGTTATTTCTGTTACATTCAGCTACCACATTGGGTTCCCCTTGTTCCAGAGAAGAAATATGGGTCGTTGTATTCTTGGAGGCCAACTGTTTCAAAGTCTGGTAGCGCGATTTCCTTGGCCTTGAAGATCCTGATAAGTGCAATGCATACAAAAGAGAACATTACAGTAAAGCTTTTATATAATCGAAGATCGATAATGCTTGATGTCTTCATGAGAATCTTATAATTCAGATAATAGTGGTATGGTGGTAGTGCATTCATCGCCTGATGAAGATGGTAGGACTCGACGAAGCGACCGAGATGATTCCTGCATATCATTCTCAGACACAGGATCTACGGCCCCAAACGATGTCTCAGGAACTACTGAACCTTGCGATGGATGTTCCATAAATTCAATTCTGGCTCTTTTACTTGTCAGAGTTTGATATTGAGTCTTTCTTTTCTTGGGAGGCATTGCTGCACAGAAAAAATAGAAACCAAACATGATCAGAATCATTACTGTTGGGATGTTCGAATAGCATAGCCGAGACAGTAATATATTGAGTCCAATGCTTTTAGTAAGGAAGAGTTAGAGGAAGATCATAGAAATCATTCTCACTCATTCATCAGACTCATCAATGAGGATGTCAGATAAAAATCCAGGTTACCTTTGTCCTATTTAGCCCATCAAACGAAGGATTTAAGTGAACAGATGACAGATGAAATATATGGTGAAGTAAAGGAAGTTCCTGGAGAAAGTGACATAACCCATTGGGGAAGAAGATGTATATTAATATGAAATAGCTATCATGGATATGTGAGCTATGTATGATCCTTATAATATCATTATAATGTGAAAAGATCTAACATGTTGTTGGATTAATAAAAGGGTTATAGGTATAATATGCCTCTCTATTATGACGTTTTATCAAACATGCCCCTCTAATATTTTTTATATCAAATATGCACCTGTACTTTGAAAAAATTATCAAACATGGCCTTCTGTTAAAATTTCCATTGAAAAAATCGCCAATCATGGTTAAATCGAGATTTAGACGACCCGACATCGGCAAATGGGAGGAAAAATGTCAGTTTTGTCCCCTGTTTTATTTTCCTGGGTCTTTTCAAAGTGAAATTGTTTGAATGATTTGATTATACAAAAGAACCAAAAAATTCTAAAGTGAATTTATTAGAGATATGTTAGTCATTTGTGTCGCCCAAACTAAAGTTCGGCCTTGGTTAACGGTCTTTTGATGAAATTTTTAACAAAAGGGCATATGTTTGATCATTTTTACAAAGTAAAGGGGCATGTTTGATGTAAAAAATAGTAGAGGGGCATGTTTGATAAAACGCCATAGTAGAGGGGCATATTATACCTATAACCCTTAATAAAATGATGAAAAGCAATTAGATTAGTTTAATCTTTTGCACAAAAAGAGGCTGCATTATATTAAGTAAGAAATATCGAGAGGTCCAAGAAAGATAAGGAAGATGTCCTCATAATATAAATCGTATTATAGATCGGAACAAACGTTTCGTTTGTTTGAAACATGCGTAGTCAATCCTAATTGATACAAAGTGTTATCAAATTGCAATTTAACAGTTCTGGATATAGTCTATAGGCTCCCCAAAAATGACAGTGTCTCTATTCGAACTGCCTAAGAGACATTGAGACAAAACCCCCTTCCTCCTTTCGTCAACAGTGGACGTATATAAGGGAAGAATGACCAGATACTATGGAAAATAGAAACACGACCTCGCTCATATTAGCATCAAACAACATTTAATGAAGGCAATAACTGCTAGGCAGCAGCCTTAGGAAAATCAAAATGCACAGAAGCACCGTGTAAACATCAACAACTTATGAGCTAACATTAACTAATTAGGTGCTGATTATCCAACAAAAGATAGAAGGCTATATAAACGAAATGCACAGAAGCATTGTATCTCCTGATAATATCCACACAGATGCAGCTACTACATTCTCGAAACCCAGAATCCAAAATGAGAATATCCATGCAACTACAAGCGCTGCATTCCCGAAACCTAAATATCCAAAATATGATTGTCTAAACAAGGAGAATAACTTGCGTAAACTAAACAGAATATGTCATCTCCTTGAAAGTCAGGCACCAGCATTTCTGGGAACATCATCAACCACGCAGAGAAGGATCAGACCCATGCATGAAAACTTCAGTCCAAAACATATCTACTTCCTGCAATAAAATAAATAGCGAAGAAATAAGATACATAGCAGCCACAGGAACTTAATCGCAAATGAAACATGGCAGAAAATCAAAACAAACTAAGAAAATAAGAAAAGACCTTGACGTTATCCTCACCTCTTGAACATAACACGTTTCGTAGTTGGGTTTTTCTGACTGTCAGCTGGAGAATCCCCTTCCATCTCAGCACCTGCCTGTGAGGAACCGCCATGTGGCAGAGGAGGAGCCTCAGCATCGTCTAACTTCTCCACCTTGATCTTGGCGAGTGGAGAAACCAATCTTGAACCAAACATACCTCTCAGAATGAATATTGTGGGAAAAACACAAAAACTCTGAAAAATATTTAACTAACTTGTGAACACCTACAATGTCGCAGGCGAAGAGCCAGCGGCTAAACCAGAGGTCTTCCCAGGAGATGACTCAGGGGATGGCTTCAGAATCTTTGCAGCAGATGCCAACGAACCACGACTAACATCCTCAGGGCTGGCAGACTCATCGATTCTGGTTGTACGCTTGGTAATCATCGAAGGAGTGGATCTGCCAGATGGTGTACAGGACTGGGCTGAAGAAGGAACGGGTACAGCCGCAGCAGCTGGGCTAGAACCAGCCTGTACACTAATCCCAGAGGAATGAGATCCCCCGAGAATCTGGGGGCCAGCAACGGTACCTTCGCTTTCGACATTTGCAAGAGGAGGAATATGTAAATCCTCAGCTATCGGACTGGGAAAATAAATGGCAAATAACTTAGGACACATTCTCCAACAATTCCATTAATATACGGAATAAGTATTGTTAGAAATGCGAATACCTGACAGCCTCATCTGGCCCTTCAGTGATACTAAACGGGGTTGCTGATACCTCAGTGAGTAGAGGACCTGAAACATTTTCCTTTCCCTTCGCAACCCTTGAGAACATAAACAGACAGTTCATAAGGCATAGCCAACAAATCAAAGAACATAAACAGAAAAATAAAACAGCCAACACCAACCTAGATGAAGCCGAAGAACCACCCGCGACGCTTGCTGCACCCATGGTCAAAGTCGGAACAGCAGCAGAACCAGCTAATGGAGATTGCGAAGAGTACTCGAGCAAATCGCCAACCACCGTAGGGTCATCAAGCGGGACAACCTGAGTTACACGGAACTCACCCGAAGAGAAGCCGGTAGGACCAGGCAATGGTAACTTACAATCAAACTTGACATACTGTCCTCGCAATTGATACAACTGCGGGGGCAGCTGACCAAGACGATGAGGAAACCTCTGGGCCAGATGTGCAGCGGAAACATTAATCAACGCATGGGCACAGCCACCCATCAGTATGAACCGAGCCTCGCAAGAGTCATCCCTCAACGTAAGTTGGAGCTTATAACTGAGTAAAAAAATACGTTAGCAAAAAAACTTGAAACAGACAAGAGATCTGCGCTAATAATACGCAGTCATACTTGACTCGGGTCTGCTCCTCTTCTAGCTGCCAGTCTTTTGGACACCAAACCCTATTGTCTCGACGCTTTGAAACTGCTCGCGAATATAGCTTGCACGAAATGTAATACCAAGGAGTACTCGACTCGACATCAACAATCACTCCACCACAACGGTACTTCTCTTCCTAGCAAAGCAAAGAGAGCTCATTCATTTCCAAGGGGGAAAAAACAAACACTAATTTTTCCAGAAAGAGTAGTAATAAACCAGTGAGGAATTCGTTCGAGACAAGCTCAACAACTGGTCCAAACTCTTGGTACGCCAATCTGCATCAGCAATAGCATCAGAAACGGAGGTAAATTCCACTGGCAAGGACTCAACAACTTCGTGCTTTTCAGCAAATCTAAGACAAACATAAGCAGAATAAACTTAACTATAATGTCACTCGTGCATAAAATGAACACCCAAACAGGCCACACAAAATCAACAATGGTCACAACCAACTCACCTAGATGCAAGATAGTAAGCCTTTGGTACAGGAGGGTTGACTGCTATGCGTTTACCAGCTGAGCTCGAGAGAATATAATCATCTGAAACAGAAAACAAAAGGCGTAGAGAAATCAGCACACACCAACATTCCTTGCATAACCCCGATAAAGGTACATGCACTCCAGGGGAAAAAACACACCTCCCAACTTATTAACCAGCAAGCCACCGAATGCGAGAATCATAGCTTCAATCGAGTCAGCCTGAGTGAGTGCAACATTGTCTAACACCGCAGAAAACTCATCCCAGAGTGTAATAGTAACCTTCGCTCCACTGGGAGGAAAAAACACGGGGATGCGTGAGGAACAACACAAAAGGAACATAAGGCACAAAGGTGAACTCAAGAACCCTAGAAAAGCGAGAGAACCTTTCATCCTCGATGATAACCGTCTGCTTGACTATAGGGCCGTTATTAGTGATTTTATGCGATATCCCACTGATTGAATGGAGTCGGTCAACGACATCTACGAAAATAAAATGAAGACAAAACATCAAAACACAATAAAAAAACATTCATATACACAAACACATGCATATCAATAAGAAGCTAGCACAAAAATATCCACTAACCTGTCAAGAAACGGTGATTACCAGCACGCATACTCAACTGGGAAAAAGACACAAACTCATACGCATCAACCGGAAAACTCTCAGCAGGAAGACCACAGGCCTGAAAGGAAGTCGAGGGCGAGAGACCCAAAGCCAAATCAAATGAACATGGGCGATACTGATTCGGCGGGTTGCTCAAGCCAAAGGACTTTACAACATAAATCTTCCCAACATAAAGGTTACGACGGATCCCAGCAGCCATTGAAGTCGGCGAAACACCGTGAATCAGCGTCCTCTGCGCAGAACACACCACAATGATTTAAAAAAAATGAAATATAGCAGCAACGACAGAACAAAACAAAAAAAATATCGGCGCAAAGGAGCGGTCCAGAGAGTACAGTAATTGTAGATCCTGATATCCCCTGGAGACTTCGACGGCCACACATGCAGCAGCCGAAGACGTAAAGAAACGGCAGCATTGCGAGGGCCGCCGAGATTGCAAAGCAGCGTGAACTCCATATTCTCCGAGACGAAGAGCACTGAAGAGAGAAGAAACAACGTTTAGAAAGAGAGTAGAATGACGGGGAGAGGCCAGAGCGAAATGATGAACTGCTGCACTAAATTAAAAAAAAAGGACATATAAATCAGAGAAGGAATTAGCAGGGGCAAGGGAGGCTCATGTCAGTTATCGGCCCAATCGCGAATGGTAACGTACAGAAACCGAAACAGCGCCCCGCCGAAGAGATAAGGACGATGTCAAATAGAGGAACCGCCAGCAAGAGAGAACACAAAGAAGCGGGAAAAAAATTCGGCACACAAAAGCGGCGGGCTTCAGATATCTAGGCAGCCCTAGACAGTCTCATTCTCCCCAAGGCCCAAATAGCTCAGGCCGCGCATAGGAAACCGCGCCCATCATTACCACCAATTCCGAAAGCCAAACATCAACACGCAAGGCGAGAGAGAGAAAACAACAGATGCAATGATTATGACAAAGACCGACGAGGAATAGCCAAGAAACACAATAAAAGAAAATAAAAAAAGAAGACAGCGAAGAGGAAATCAGGGCGCAGCTGAGAGCAACGCGGATCTCAGAGAAACCACCGCAGCCAAAACCGCAAGGGCCACAACCAAATAGGCAACCAATTAAGAAATAGCAGGTGGGGCAAGATGCAGACCCACGACCAACTAGACGGAGGTACAATAAAATTGAGGCTAAATGAATAGTAATTTCGTGTCTAGGCGAACAGTGGATCATGTCTTTGCAAATAACTTTTTTTCAATTATTTTTACACAAACACTAAGTTGATTAAGTAGTGAATTAGTTTGGCTTTATAATTTCATTTTTGGAGCCTTGCACTGTCCTGCTAAAGACCGGGCCAGCCACCCAGGTCGACGTTCATATATATATGAAGGAATTTTTCTTAATTAGTAGTGCAACTTTCATATGTTTTTGTCTATTTAATAAAGGCCTAATACCAGAAAAGGGCCCGTAGTTTAGAGTTTGGGTCATTTGCACCCCTAGGTTTATACCGCGTCACTTATGTCCCCAAGTTTATAGTCCGCATGCTAATTATGTCCTCACTCGTTTCGTTGACTGTTAGACTTGACGGTCAACCTAACGGCGGTCAACCCTTATTTGACTTTTATACCACATGTCAGCCACATCATACACACGTGGCATTTATATATTTAAAAAAAAATATTATCTCAATTAAATCAGAAATATTTTTTCAAACATTAAAAAATCATTCCACTTATGCACCAAAATAAAATCCTTTGCTCAATCGGGGTATGTTTTCTCCTCCACCTACTCGACTCCTTAATCTCCTTCCGATCACCCTGCCGACAGAAGTCACCGTCTCCACCACTACTCCTACTGCCAATCTCCCTCCCACCACCGCCAACACCTATCTCCTTTCTCGCATCTCTCCTCTCCAGAGATAGCATCAAAGAAGAACCCCCTACCCCCACAAAGGCGGCCGCTCTCTGGCCACAAAACTAAATCTGATCTGCGAGCTCGAAGGCTCCCCTGGCGGCACCAAATCCCTGATCGAATTCAACAAGCCCTAGATCTGATCCGCCATATCGACGACTCAACAAATCGCCAACCTGATATGAAAATAAATGGCGGTTTCATCCACCAGATACATCACGAATTCCCGCCGGATGCAGGAGCTATTGGGGATTTGGCTCGGAAGCTCTGCTGGTGACCGGATTCATCCTTGCCACCATCTTCTGGCATCTTGACAACTCGCCGAAAGGGATCTAAGAGCGGCTCGGATTCTTCGCCTTCGCAATGTCGGTGACGCACGACTCAGGGAAAGGAAATTCAAAACTTTTTTATTTATTTTATATTAAGTGGTGTGCAAAAAAAAAATCACATAATATGCCACATCATCGGTCAAAACTTTAACTGTTGACAACTAACGGTCAAAGTTAACGGAAAGAAAAAATAAGGACATAAGTGACGCGGTATAAACCTAGGGATACAAATGACTCAAACCCTAAACTACGGGCCCTTTTCTGGTATTAGGCCTTTAATAAACTTTCCTCTAATAACAATTTTCTTACCTTAATATATTGTTATTCATATCATTTATTTGATAAACGAGAACAAGAAAAAACTGAACTCGGCTCGAGTAAATGACAAAATATGGAGACCCAAGAAAAGGGAAGACATCTGTGTTATCTTGACTAACACATAGCTGGGCTGGGCTGGGCTGGGCTGACAGGGCTCAGTTAACCCCGAATGATTCTCCATCCCGGCCCAGGCCCAGGCCTAGCGGCAACCATTCCAAATCAGCCGCAGAAAATTGACAGCCACCAAAATTAGATAACCTTTCTGGCTCAATGGCATGCACAACTGCGCCTATCCGCAGGGTTTTCCCGACACAGGCCTCCGGCGATCGGAAAGATAGTTATCAGAACTCAGCAAAACCGCCTGCCGAGCAATTCGCACCGCTGGCATCCCAATTTGGCCGCCGGTTGCTCCTTGGAACAGGGTCAGCTGCTCTAGTCGCCGTCGGGGCGAATTTCGGCGGAATCACCAGCTTCCTTCTAGGCTTGTCGCCGGGGACCGGCCGGGATCTCAAATTGGATGTGGTTTATCCGATCGGGGGGTACAGCCGTTGCATCGAAGCAAGCGAAGGATTCGGTCAGCATTGAGTGAATTTGATGAATTTCTCCATTTCCCGTCTCTGTTTTCGTTTTCTCCTTCTTCCGTTTAGTTTAATTTCCCGTTTATTGATGGACGACAGAGTTCATATACCCGGCGAATTGGGTCGGAGATCAGACGCTTCTGTACCGCGCCGCCGCGAAAGCAGAACTAGAGCGATCGCTCGACCCGCCACCTCTGGAAATTCGAGGTCCGCGAGGAGAAGGAGTAGTGTTAACGAGCCGGTGATTGCGTTTGGCCCGCCCGGTTCGACCGGAGAGCTCAATGTCAGCGTCATTGTCTCCCTTGTTCCTCCGGATTTCAAGTGAGTGATTCTTCTTACGGCCCCAAACAGCATTTAGCGCCAACAGAAGTGAACTTTCGTATGATTAAACCCAGAGAGTTTTACAGCTTTTGCTGCCAATGGTTTACAGGATCGAGGCTTTTGGAGGGGCGGAGGAGGTCGGCGACGCCGTGGTTCGGGCGATCACTGGGTCGGCACGACGCCCAGAGGTGAAGGGAACTCTGATACAGTCAAGCCTAAGAGAGGACAGACTGAGCAATGTGAACTACTACGATCTGGAGTTCAGAGTTGAGAGCCCTTCATTCCATAGGCACAATGTAGCAGTCTGTTGCGCTCGCGGCGGCCGGTTGTTTACCTTGAATGCTCAGGCGCCGGAATCAGCCTGGACCAACGTTAGCAAAGACTTCCGACAAATCGCCAAATCGTTCCGTCTAACCTCTTGATGATCAAACAACGACAGGAGAGGCATTTCTACAATTGTTCATCTTTGATGTATAAAACATGCTTACACTGAACTAAATATTGAGACGACTAAAACATGCAATTCGGCCTGATAAGCCACTGTTACCATGTTTGTTAATCCCGTCCAGCCTCTGTTTTGATTCATTCATCTGCAACTCCATAGTACAAAGAGTGGCCTAAAGAATGAGATGAGCAATTGAATTTGTTTATGAACATCATAATACAGCCAGAGAGATGGCCAGAAGCCAAAGATACACTTGAGTACACATTTCTACATAGGGCAGGCGGTTAGAGTACTAATTAATGTATTCTGTCATCCAACTTTAACAATTTACTGTATGATACAAATTTCATGCACAACTTATCTGCTTAGGACCTGTGAGTTTCTCCAAGTTGTCGGAGATTGCAGCTGTCAGATTTGGATCCTCGAAGCCAACCTCTGCACTGAATCTGTCATTCAGAAAGGTAACACGCCTTTGTTAATACGAGAATCGAAAAGGTATAGCAAAATGGTCAGGTGGAATATAGGGTTGATTTTGTTTTATTTGGCTCACTTTGGATCAAGCACCAGTTTCTGGACTTCTTTGATGGCTGAACTAGCAGCATATAGCGATATCTTCCCCACCTGCAACAAAGCAAAATCAAAGAACGGGCGATTAGGGCACGTAATATTAATGAAGGAGCTAGCAGCAAGCGGAAGATGCATTTTATTCTTGGCTCACCTCCATAACTTGAAGTTTAGCTTCATGGTCATTTGGAAGGCAGCGAATTTCGTCTGCTAATCTAGCGGCTTGATCCACACTCTCCGGAGACAAGAAATCGAGGGCCACATGAACAGTGGACTGCAAGTTCAGAATGCATCAGCTTGAGTGTCAACCTCTTCAGAACTCTAACCAAAGGGGAATGATCATATGGAAACCAACCTGAAGGTTCCTGGCTTGGAAAGGGCATCCAGCTGGGATAAACATAGCTTCTCCTAAATGCTGTTCAAATGACCATGGCTCGACTCCTGAAGGATTTGGAAAGAAGTTACTGTCAACCCATAAACAGTCAAAAAGACCTATTTTGAGAAAGAAAAGATAAACTTATAATTATTCTCACCTAGTTCTTCCTTCAATTTTTGCTTGTGATGTCTGTTGAGGAATACTGTGCCGCTGTAAAGCAAGTGGGCAGCCTAAATTGTAGAGAAGAGTAGGATGGTGTCAAGCATGCAAAGTGAGGATTGGTTTTCAGTTTCGATTTCTTTAGCTGAACAAATTTAATACTCATGAACGTGAAAAATGAACCAAAACTATACAAAAGACGCGCCAAAATAAAATAGTGCTTTAGTATCAAACCCCGAGAAAACAAACCCAGCAAAATTCGAAGAATCAATTGCAAAAGTGTAAACATATAATTCAACATCCTTAAATTGTAATCATTTGCAGGAAATGTAAACCCTAAACATAACATGCAACAAAACTTGGCTTGGTTTTGGTCGATCATTAATCAACCACCAAAACCAAATAATTCAGCTGTGTGTTAACCAGAAGCAGTGGATTTGAAGTTTGGTTTAAGTGAAAAGAGCAGTTAGATGCAAAAGACAATCTACAGTTGGATAAAACTTACTGAATCAGCATCAACTATGTACCCAAACTCCTCGGCATGGTTCCTCACATACTCAACCAGCTTCGAGATATCTTGCCTACGAAAGACATCCCAATGAGCTCCTGGGAGAGCCTCGTTTGATATACCTCCTTCAATCTCTTTCTTTGAGTGCTGATGCTTCACACTCTTGGCATCGTCAGAATGCTCCAACTCAACGTCTTCCATTCTCTCGTCAACATCATCATCGATGTTTGTGGAAATCCCAGCAACCTCTTGGTCTCCAGTGATCTTGTTGTCATCAGAAGTTGCCATCCCCAAATTTTGCATCTCCGGTTGGCCAAGAGATAAATCTGGTAGTACTACTCCCTCGTCCGTGCTTGTTTCAGAATCAGATGGCTCGCTCTCAGGGGCAGAACCCTGTAGCTTCACCTCGTGCGTGTGCACCAGAAGATACATCTGGCAACAAGTGGGGAAAATCTCAACCCAAGTTCTTCTTTCAACACATTCAGATAACAAGGAGATGGCTAGTTAAAAAGCAAAACAGTAAACTGGTAGAATGGTTCTGAGAGTCTATCTATAGATCAGTTGCGATTTCTTTCTGTGTAATTAGTGTTTAACTCTTAACGAGATTTCTTGAGTTAGTAAAATCATGAATCAAACCAAGATAAAGATGATTTAAATTTCTTGTGTGTTTCTCTTCATTTGTTATCTGCTATTATTTAGCTACATTTTTATCATTCATTTTCTACATGATCTACACTTACCCAAAATCAAAGAGACCAAGCATCAATAAAACCAACAGAATTCATTCCTTTTACTGCTGGGTTCGGGTAGTTTGTTACCTACCTGTTGCTCATGGGTCAGTTTATTGAAAATCGTCAAATCCGACCAAACCAACCCATGTTCACCACTAGCAACTAACATCTGTTTAAGTTGAAGATTAAGTTCAGATTAAAGTGCCCCTATGTGGATAGCAACCTCAAAATGTTTAGCATCAATCAAATTCTTACTCTGCCTGCCTTTAAGAAGCTATTAAAAAGGCTTACCATATCACGCATTTTCAAGTGAATATTGGTTACTGAATCGCCTCTACCGAGTTCTTCCATCCTCCCATAGGACAGATAAATTTTAGGCCCCACGTCATTCTGCAAAGAATAATGTGGCAACTTGGCAGCCACATTCAAGACACCCAATCTCGAATGAATGAACTCGAGTAGTGGCAGTTTACTGACAAACTCAGGCCGCTGGTACAATAAGAACTCTTCAGAAGCAGTTGGGGAAGGCCAGTCCTTCAGCTTCAACAGCTCAAGTGAACCATCTTCCCGCATTCTTCCTTCTTTGTAACCTTTAATGAATTGGCTTAGTTCGAGATCAACCTGTGAGTAAATCAAGGTAAAGGGCAATCAGATTAACCAGGACACTATTTATTCATTTAAGCCAAGAGAAGTAAACTTGGAACCAACCTCGGACCGGGTTAAGCAGTCAATGGCCTTGACCATTCTATTCTCGTCTTTCGTTCTTCCGTCAGATGTTTCACAGATGCCTTGCCATATAACCATTGGATCCCAGCTTGGCGCCGACAGCGAGTCAAATACTCGCTTGAGAATTACTGGTTTACCCCTACCCCAATGCTTTCTGAAAATATTGACCCCTTGCACTTTAATATCATCAGAAGAACACTTGAACAGTGTGGAATCATCTGACCAAAGTGTTTGCGGATCATTGACTTTACACCCGTTGACCATCTCTTCCACATTCTTGACCAGCTTTGCAACCCAATTCATCTTGAATATGCGGCTTAGACTCATTGATGAATAATCGCAGCCGCTGTACTCCCTTGGAGGGCAAGGAATGCTGCCATCCCTGTTGGCCTTCCAGAGAGGATACTCCTCTGATAAGTCCAGTCTTAGTTTCGATTCTTTGACTTGGTAAACTGCACTTCCTATGTCTCGACTTCTATCTACCACTTCACCACTAATACCAGATGCTTTTCGGAGATCTTGACAACAATGAAGGCAAAGATCGTACGAGCAATTAGGACAATGTCGATGGTAGTCAATAATCGGTATCCTGCATATGTTGCTGAAATAACAAAAAGTTGAGTAACAATATCCATAATGACTTTAAATGAAAGAAAGACTGGATAAGGCAGGCCAATTACCAGCACATCTGTTCATCTGCGTTCAATTTGACTCGAGCAAGATCTATATTATCAGTTCCTGAAAAATGTAGGAGACGATTCTTGAATGTTTTATTACATCTTAAACTTCAAAGTTAAACTTAAAGGGACATACCACGAAGCCTTTTCTCCAGCTCTACTTCAGAGCACTGCTCATCATGGATCTGTTTAACTACTGGAAGTACTGAAGATAATAGGCAGTAGAGGTATTGCAATTTATCTAAGACCGGTATCTCCCGTATTCTAACCTGCATTTCAAATTGACATATAAAAAAAACATGAATGAACCAGTAAATCAGATGATCCAGCTAATCATTTTTAAGAGTGAAAGTCCCTTACCTTCACCATATTATCCCCTCGCAAACACACCTTGCAATTACAGATACCTCGACAAGCAGGGCAAACTTTCTCAATTTCTTCTATTGAAATATCTGGGTACCTAGGGTTTTGTTTAGAAATGCTCGTTACGATTGTCAACGAAAAGAAAAAAGACACCTGCCAAGGAACTTAATCCCTCACCATGCAGAGATGCAACTATCACAAAAGCCTCTCTTGTCACATTTGAGACACCAAACAACTCTGCCTCCATCTTTTCTCAGGCATTGATGACAAGCCTGTCCTCCCATGTCTTCAGAGGAATCTGTGGTTCCACCAGAGTAATCCTGAAAAACTTATCCCATTTCAGTTTCCATTACGGCATTACCAAAAGAAAAGCTGCCAAACAGCAAACCCAGAGGTATTACCATCACGGGTGTGGCATCAAAACTCCTCTGTGACCTACTTCTGGAAGAATCCATTGTCGAAGGTGGCGGCGTATCATACGATCTCCAATTCTCTTCGTACTCCACGTCTCTCTCCATTTCGTCGTCGTCCTTCTGAGCGTTTCTAGCAGACAAACTCCTCATCGGCCCTTCAGGAGAGTACCGCCCGTGATTCTTGGACAGCTTCTTCTTGGACGAGACTGAAACGTTATGGTCCTCGGATTTTATGCTAGCAAGAGGCATATCGAAATCATCACTCTTACTCTCCAAGTAGACATCATGATCACTTTCACCCGCTGATTTCCTCTTGGCCTTCTTTAGACTAGCCCTTAGAGCTGAATTAGCCGCCCTCCTTTTAGCCTGGATGTAGTGCTTCTCACATACCGTTTTATCGGGCATAGACAATGCAGTGCATCTCCACTGTTTCCCATCGGATCTCTTGCACCGCAAATCATCTGGGATCCCCACATTGTCATCACCTTGTGGGTTATTATCCATAGTCCCTTTACCCCTCACGAAGTCAACTGTGATTCACTAACACTGGCCGTAATTGAGTTCAACACTCCTGTAAAGCCCCATAGGAAGAGAGAACGCAATTCGCCGCAGTAAGTAATGACCCACGAGAGGAAAACTAGTAAAGATCACGAATTTAGCAGAATGGAAACAAACCCAGAAGCAGCTAGAGGGGAACAGGAAAAGAACCCAGCAATTAAGACCAAATTTTACCTGGCGAGACTAGGGTTTGCTAGAGTTGGGCAGAAGCGTGAACTGAAACAGCTACAAAATTGCAGAAGTCCGGGGAAGTATATAAATGGCGAAGAAACCTATAACTCATTAGTTTCGGCCAATTCCTCTTTCTCTTTCCCCACTCCGACACAAAAGAAGAAGAAGAAGAAGACAGGGTTGCAACCGGTTTTCTGTGAAGGTCGTTGCTTCGCTGGGTTTTGGTTGGTTCCTCTCTTCCTTTCCCTTGCTGAGTTTTTCTCTTTTCTTTTTTACCTTAAAAAGGTTCAGAGAACTGTAGTCTGTGTTTGTGGGATGTGCCGCAGTTGGGAACTGGCCTTCTGCGGCGCCCGCTTGTGATCAAACGGTCAATTGGAGCTTTTTTAGATGAACATATATAAGTACGTCCAGAAACTTTGCTACGTATCAATTGAGTCGATGTATCCCAATTATCATTCCGTTCACATCTTAATCCTTTTGTGAAGAAAACTATTTTCAAATTTTAACCTTTCACACCCCACTTGGATGATTTTAAGGGGTTGTCAGATTGACAAATAAGGGTATTTTGGGTATGAAAAAAAGAAATATATTAATTATCTTTTTTGTATTAATTATATTGGGAATTAAAAACTCATATTAAATACAATTTTTTGAAATTTAAATCCTATACATTAATAACTCTATCTATCTCTCTCTTCCTTTCTCCAGCGGCCACTCCGCATCGACGGACAAACTTTTTCTCCAGCGAATTCTCTCCGGCAGACTCCCTCCGGCAACCTGAAAAAATGTACCAGTGCGTTAAAAAGTGTATCAATCCATTAGTCTACTGGTAATTAATATACCAGTGCTACTGGTACGTTACCAGTGCGTTAAAAAATGTACCACTGCTAGTGGTACGCTACCAGTACAACGCTACCACTACCATATTGTATCGTACCACTAGCACTGGTAGACCTGCCAGTGCTAGTGGTACGCTACCAATGCTAATGATAGCGTACCACTAGCACTGGTAGCGTACTACTAGCATTGGTAGCGGTACCAGTAGAGAATAACACAAAAAAACATATGATAGTGGTACTAGATGATAGTGGTACGCTACCAGAAGAAAAATGGTACCACTAAAAAACCAGATCTAGAAAAGGGCAGTTGGTGACGGGAGAGAGAGGCGGAGGGGAGAGGGTTACCTCGCGACGGTGGCAGTGGTGGGGGACGAAGGGGAGAGGATGATTGTGCCGCGATGGGCCGGCGGAGAGAGATTTGCAACAACAGGGTGTGGAGGGAGGCTGAGGATGGCGGAGACGGCGGCGGTAGAAGGCTCGACAGGCGGCTGCATGAGACAGGGGCGCCGACGCCCGCGGTGGAGGGCTGTGGCAGCGGAGGGCTCTGCGGTAGAGAGGGAGGAGAGACGGTGATGGCTGCGGGAGAGAGGGAGGAGAGACTAAGGAGAGAGAGGGAGGATGTAGGAGTTAGGGTTTTTTACTATTTATATGGTAGGGTGAATGATTGGGTGTGGTAAATTTTTATCCTTCCAAAAATACCCTTCCTTTAATCTTAACCGTTAATTTAAAAAAAAAAGAAAGAGACAGGAGAGAGAGCGTATCCAAGGGCTATGAAGTGGGTTGTGAATCTGACAACCCCCTTAAGGGGTTGTCACCGTATCTCGTCCCATGTTAAATTCCTAGTTGAGCTCATAGAAGTTGAACAATCAAGTTGAACAAAAAAATAAGTTGATGTTGGTAGAAAATAATCTATTGAAAGCGTGATTAGATCACTCTCATTAGAGTGTTATTTGCCCCCATTACAAATTGTTGGTAGACTCGAGCAAACCACCCCCAAGAGTCCCTTCAATTCTAAGTCTGGAAGTAGCAATCTTGGAGACTTTTGTATTTGTGAAATAGAGAATGAAAACGGGAAGAAGAAGTAATCTCTCGTTCATGTTAAAATGAGTTATGACAATTCTCTATTTATACTTGTGAAAACTGAAAGTTATCTTCCGAAAAGACACGTCATTTTCATAGGAAAAGGTAGTTACCTTTACCGAAAGGACACATCCTTTCACAAAAAAAGGGAAGTTACCTTTCTGGAAGGACACTTCTTTTCACAATATTCAAACGTTAATTAATTAATATAAAAAATTAATTAATTAATTAAACTGCCAAAGACTCAATTCTTATACTTTCCTTCTCCCATCAATGTGGTATTACAACTCTATTGACTAACTCTAACAATCCCCCACTTAGTCAACAAGAGTTGATAATACCTGCCTTGAACAAGTAACGCATACAAAAAGGTATCTTCTCGATTTGAACAGTTACCTAGTGTAAGCAAGTCAAAGTTGATAACGAATCAGTGACAGGCTTAAGCCTAGGAGTCACGATCCAAAGCTATAACTGGAGATGCCACACACGTACTTGTCTCTTCTCTATACCACAACCACCAACAAGGGTAGCACTATTATGGCCATGTGTTGATCCTGGTTCATGAGCATATACAAAAGTTGACTTCTACTTTTGTTAGAGCGACATCACTCTTAATGCTCACATAGGTGACATTCCAAATGAACTCATTAAGAGTTCTATAACTCACCCTTCTTTGGACTAGTTGTACAATAAATTAGTACCTCAGTTAGAGTAACTTGTTATTACCACATTGAACCTTTTAATTAGTGAATACCTAAAGAAATGTTGGATTCCCATTACTTCTAACGTCACAAGAGGTCTCAATCCCTTCCCTTGGGATGTCTCATAGATCTTAGCACTTGACAATCTCTTGGTAAGAGGATCTGCCAAATTATTGTTTGCTCTAACATACACGATAGAAATGATTCCATTAGAAATCAAATATCTAACGTAATCATGTCTTAGGCTAATAGCTCTAGACTTACCATTGTAAATCGTGTTATAAGCTCTCGACAAAATAGCCTCACTATCACAAAAGACAGAAATGGCTGACATTAGTTGTGGCCACAAATTTATATATAAAAACATGTTTCTTAGCCATTCTACTTCTTTTCCAGCCGTCACAAGGGCTAGGAATTCAACTCCCATAGTGGAGTTTGTAATACATGTTTGTTTCTTTGAAGCCCAAAAAACAACTCCACCACCTAGTGTAAAAGTTTACCCATTGTATATTTATTATCACTAGTACTTGTTATCCAACTAGCATCAAAAACATCTCCCTCACAATTCTACCACTTGTCCAACTATCATGGAATAATTCCATTTAATTTTTCATGGTTTTACTTATTGAACTTTCACTACCACTACATTGATCTAATTGTTTACCAATGGTATGGACTAATTGAATTAGCATACCACAAACAATTAAGATATTTTTAGAAAGATCATCTAATTACTTACCAATGGAATTGGACAAGGTGACTTGAGATGCCAGAAGTAATTCAGTTGCATTTCCAGATTGTATTGGAAATCTAATTACTTATCAATGACATTCTTCAAGGTAACTTCGACATACCACAAGTAATTCAGATGAAATTTTCTAAGTCGATAGTGTACTTATTACTTTCCAATAGTATAAATTTGCATAGTATACCGTATGTAATTCATTACAATAAGCTCATCTTAATTAAGCTCTCATGTCAAATTGTTTGCCAATGGTATATGTCTACATATACCATAAACAATTTTGACTAATAGCTTCACACAATAGTCATACGTCAGATTGTTTTCCAATGGTATAGTGTACATATACCATAAATAATTCTGACGATGATTATTTTGATGATCACCATTCTTTAGCAAGCTTATTCAATCCCAATAAGGATTCATCTTAGTTTCATTTTTCTTGCCCTCATGGCATATGAAACATGAATTCATAATCCAATACATGATAAACAAATTATCATGTCGGGTGAATGTTTTTCACCATTATTTCAATTTACTTTATGATCACAACTCACAAATTTTGTTACATAAACCAAATTGTTGCATCTTGCAAGCATAAAAAATGAAACTCATACAAATTTTGGTGACAAAATTTATTTCAAGAATTCAACGTGAATTCTTTCAAATTCAAACGCAGTTGAATTTTCTTGAACTCTTCTCATAATACAAATTATGAGTTCGTTCACATTTCAAATACTACAAAAAATATTTGGTATCATTAACCAAATCGAATTGGTTTACTATTTTTTTCCTTTCACACACACGTTGCATCTTGTATGTGGATTCAAACCATGCATGACTCAACAACTTGCATGATGATTAGTTGGAATTACTCACCATCATTATGCACGAATACAAAATCACATTCATGACAATTACAATGCATAACAGAAATGACAATCTTTCTGATGCTTCATGAAAATTAATAGTGGTCAATGCATTGCACTTCCCACTTTCATCTTCGACAACAAACAAGGAATTAATTAAAATTCCCGTTTCAATTTGCATCATGAATAATTGGTTCAACTGACCTATGACAATATGAATTGGAATGGCTATTGCAGTGCTCTACCACCACCATTCGCATGACATTAGATGCCATCATTTGTCATACTTCCTTTCTTTTCGATTACTTCCCCCACTACAAATTGTTGGTAGGTTCGAGCAAATCACCCCTAGGAGTCCCTTCAATTCTAAGTCTGGAAGCAGCAATCTTGCAGATTTATGTGTTTACGAAATAGAGAAAAAAACGAGAAGAAGAATTAATAAGCAATGTGTATTAAGAATGGGTGGGTTTGATGGGGGAATGTAATGTGTAATCAGAGTTGATGTAATCGAATTTTAAATGAATTATGCTTGTGTTTAAGCTTAATCAAATTTGGTCTCTGAAAATGCAAGGCGTAATGAAAAGATGTATGTCATGGGACAAAAGATCATTAGCATTCTTAATAAGCCTGCCATGCCATTAGATAACCATCTGGAAAGATCACAAAATGAGCAAATCATTATCTAATTACAAGATCAATCAAAGGTTTCATCAGTTCACCAAAGAGGCACCTAATGACCAAAATAAGGCTAATATAACTACAACTACTTGCTCACGAAAAGAGTAGATCGTCATACGATTTACATATAACTACCACAATGACCTACAACCACTCTTGCATTAACAACTTCTAATCTTCATGGATTCTGCAGCTGAGTCAATTGACTTGCTACTTGCGAGTCTTGAGTGGCTTGACTCCCTTGCTGGGACGTCTCAATTGATGGCCTCCTGGTACTTCCCAGCCAAATGAGTGAGATTAGGAGTTTTATCTATGTTAATTAACTATGAAAACAATCAATTAAAGACATACATTTGGCATTAATTGGATAGTACGAGGCTGACTTGGTGCTTGTTCTCATTTCCAGCTGCTTTCTCCTTTACTCCAGCTTTTGTAAGGCATAAAGTCGATTACGTTTAGATCTTTCTTGTTGCTTCCTCCTTTGTTCTTTTTCCCTCTCCTTCCTTTTTCTTTCTTTCCCCATGACAACTTGTGTCTTCCTTTCAGCACGAGCTTGTTCCTTTGCAGCTCGATCATCGTGAAAAGTCTTGTTTTGCCCAACTACACCATATAAAGTACACATGTATTATTTGCTAGGTTGTTTAGACACTTCCCTTCCATCCTTCTTTTGTTTCTTAGCTTTGTCAGCCTCGTAGGGTTCCTTTTGTCTCGCTTTCTTCCTCTCTTTGTCGAATCACTAGAAGCAGGGACTCCAACCTCACCTAATTAAAAAAGACTCCAACGTTTCTTGCCAGCAGAAGGTAAAGTAGAGAGCCGATAAATCTTGGCAAGATATTGGTTGATTCTCAATGAAAGAATGTACAAATCACAAGGTTCCTCACACACTGCTTGTAGCCTCTTTCCATCATTCCTCTAGAAAGAGATTGGTCAATTCTCAATGAAATAATGTGTTTTATCACCTCAATCAACACATACTTGATGCTAAAAATTTTATCAAGTGAGAACTTTGGCTTCTCCATGTCCCGATCGACATGCAACTTAGACACGTGTGCATCATCGGAGTTATCCTCTAAACTGTGAACAGTTCTATGGTCATCGGAGTCGACAAAATCAGACTCCTCATCTCCTTTGTCTACCTCCCGATCTTCAGGGTCTCCACTACTACATCTTCCTAAGTCATCTTCCGCATCCTCAATACAATTATCCTCGAATTCTTCATTGTCACCATCACTGTTAACCGTTTTAGAATCACCCTTATAGTCACTGTCATCTTCATCTTTTTTGTAGTCCTTGTCATCTTCCTCGGAATCACCACAAAATAAGGCTTCCATTGTTGAACACTCGGTTGCATCTTCATCCAAGTCACTACTCATAAAATCCTTCATTTCATTCTCTCCAATTGCAAACAACTTAATGATTCAAGGATGATCATTAGCTACTGTAGCCATGTTCAACAAGTCTCCATCGTTAGAAATCTCCAACATTGACTCAATGTAGGGAGCTTTCCAATAAAGTCTTGGATTTTGAATCTCCCCATCACACTTCTCATAGATGTCAGGCAAGTCGAGGAGCAACAATTCATCGAAGTCGACATAGTCATAGAACACACTAGACTTCTCCTTCAAGAAATGTTTGCCACTCTTCATCTTCTTCTTCAACTCGTGGTCTACATGAACTTCGAATGTAAACTCGCCACTGCATGCGCTTGTTGGCTACAAAAAAATTATTGGTGAGAATGCAATTGAGAAAGTAAATGGGAGGCAGGTGTGGGTTAAAAGTAAAATGCCTTCTGAAAAGAACAAAATGCCACTTTTGCAAATGCTTTCCTCCATAAAGAAAAACATAAAAATGACAGAACTTACGATAGTTTGGTAGTGAACCATTTGGGGGCCGCACATGACCCACCGTCATTCTAGGTGAAGAGTCCGACAACATGAGAAAAACAACACCAACTTGCAATTTAAGTATAAAGAATCAAATATCAACCTTGAAAAACCCGACGATGTGACAATCCCCTTTCGGTTTGTTCATAAGAAACCCACACTGAACCCAAAAAAACTCAAATAACAAAATATTTACCTTTAGAACTGCTCCCTTGTTGCATGCCAACCCCCCAAAAGAAGAGTAAAGCAATTGAATCGAGAGAATTGGTAGCAAACTTCAATTGGTGGATTTAGGGTTTCGATTTTCGTAATCTATCTAACAATCGCAACAACTTGTGATGTATGGGTAACCAAACGAAGGAGAAGAAAAGAAGAAACAACAGGCGTTAGAAATCTTTAACACACAAAGATTCAAAGAATGAGATGCATGCAATCTTCTTCTGCTATGGACACTCGAATGAGAGAAAGAAGAAAGGGAGATGAAGTTGTCTTTCATTTCTTCTACCCGAAATTCCTTTGTTTTAAATTTTGCTACTTAATCGAGTTGGGTCAACGGGTCGGGTTGTTAGCTTAATAGGCAGGTTCTTTCTTCTCATTGTTCGGGTCGGGTTTGAATTGGTTCGGATTAAAAACCTGTGACTCGACATTGAGTTTGCTAGCTTGGCACCCCCGTTTACCACGCCAGCAAAAGTGTAACGCCGTTGACGGAGCATAACGGACCCAGACGACGAGTGATCAAAGATGACATAAACATGTAGCAAAGGCGGCTAAATTATAGGAAAATTGATTCGAGTGACTAAAGTGTTACAAGTAGATAAATGAGTGACCAACTTGCAATTCACCCCAATTCTGCCTTTCAAAGTCCCCCAACTCGATGATATGGTAAAAAGGGTTAATACCTTATTTTGGCCTAAACTATGACCATATAATCAACTTTGGCTCGTGGTTTCAGAAATTAACATCCTGGCCTCAACTATGCAACATATAGACTCAATTGGCCCGACACATGGTTTGACCGTCAATTTGGACGGTCAACACGCCATGTCAATGTCTCGCCAGCTTAAAAATCAGTAAAAAAATTCAAATTATTTTCCTAATTTCTATTATTTATCATTATCAAATTAACCAAAAAATATAAAATAATTTTTTTTGGGTAATTTGAAAATGATAATTTTATAAATTAACCAAACTTTATCAAATTATTTTAAATTTTATTTTTTGGTTAATTAGAAAATTATAAATAATAGAAATTATGAAAATAATTTGACTTTGAATTTTTTTAATGATTTTTAGGTTAACGAGGCAATGACATGGCGTGTTGACCAGCCAAATTCACGGTCAAATCATATGCGTGTCAATTGAATCTATATCTCGCATAATTGAGGCTAGGATGTTAATTTCTAAAAAAAAGGACAAAGTTAATTATATGGTAATAGTTCGGGCCAAAACAACGTATTAAAAAAAACTTCCCAATTCGAAAAAAAGAAACCAAGTTGGCGGGATCAAAGGACGTTGATGGTTGATGATTTCCGGGGTAGGAAAGTAGGGTCCAAGATAGGGTCAGTAACCACTGGTTACTGACCCATCAGTAACAGCACGCGGGCCGTAGATTTGGGGAGGGAGAAATCGTGTGGATGGGCTGGACGCTGGGTGGAGAGGGGCATTTTTGTCCGTTTTCGTATTTTTAATTTTTTATTTATTCCGCATTTCAATGGCTGACTTTTCAATGAAAGAGAAGGAAGAAGAGAATCTTCCTTCTCGGCAACTCAACTTTCTTCCTTCTCTCTTCCTTTTTTTCAATCTCTTTCCATAACATTTCTCTTTCTCTATTCCTTCTCTCTTACTTTTTTTTCTCACAATCTTCTTTTCAAATCTAAATCTGCTCTCTTCCTTCTTCATTTTTTTTCTCTAGCATAAAAATTCTAGCCACTCTCTTTCATTGCATTTCTTCTCTTCATCAACTCGTTGGACTCAATTTCGATCTTTCTCATTTTTTTGGCATTTTGGTGTTCTTGATTGAGGAAGAGGAAATGAGAGGCATCAGAAGACGATTTTTTTTCTCTCCCTCCTTCTATTTTTTTCCTTTTAGATAATATATATTGATATTATGACTCTATACCATATGGTATTGGGTGGTAACGAAATATATATTGACATTACCACACTATACCCTATGGTAATTTATGGTATTGCGTGGTAACGAAATATATATTGATATTACCACTCTATACCATATGGTATTGTGTGATATTACCACACTATACCATATGGTATTGTGTGGTAACGAAATATATATTGATATTACCACTCTATATCATATGGTATTGTGTGATAATATCACACAATACCATATGGTATTGTGTGGTAACGAAATATATATTGATATTACCACACTATACTCTATGGTATTGGGTGGTAACGAAATATATATTGATATTACCACACTATACCATATGGTATTGGGTGGTAACGAAATATATATTGATATTACCACACTATACCATATGGTATTGGGTGGTAACGAAATATATATTGATATTACCACTCTATACCATATGGTATTGTGTGAATTGTGTGATATTACCACACTATACCATATGGTATTGGGTGGTAACGAAATATATATTGATATTACCACACTATACCATATGGTATGACTGGTAATAATTGACAAATTTTTTTGTGTCCAAAAAATATCAAAGTGGATATCATTTTGAAGAGCACAATTAATCTGATCTAACTGTGCAAAAAAAATTAAATTTCGACTTAAAACAAGTGAGAAATCGTCCGTTAAAATTTAAGGGAAGGAAAATTAAATGTTTTGCCAGGAGAGAGAAGGATGGGCTGATAGGCTCCGGTCAAAAGTGAGCATCAATAATAAATAGGATTAAGTGCAATTTTACCTTACTACCCTTTTCACTTTTAATTTAAATAAAAAAGTGACTGACACGTGGGGACCAGGGAAGGGGTTTGACAAGATCTGGACCCGGAAAGTAGTCTCTACTCCGCGAGCTGCATCTCTGGCTGCTCTGCTCTCAGCTCATCTAGGGTGTCGGATTTAGCCTCTTTCTCTTTCACTCTCTTTCAATCTTCCGATTATTGCTGAATGACAGTAATATTTTCGCGCGCCCAACTTAAAGTGTGATTGTGGGATCCCCAAACCCTAATCGGGCGCTGTTCTTTTCGAATTTTGGTGGGAAAGAATCATGGCCGGGAGCGGTTTGACTCCCGATGAAGCTATTGAAAAGCTCGTGCAAATGGGATTCGAGAAACCTTCCGTCGAGGTGGCGGTGAACCAGATGGGTCCTTCGTTGGATGTTGCCGTTGATTATCTCTTGAATGGTAATTCTCGGAAACCCGGCGGTGGTTTAAACAGTTCGAGGTATCCTACTTCTACCGCTAGTAATGGGAAGAAGGTTCTTGGTAAAAGAGCGATGGTGTCTTCCTCTAGCTTGGGGCCCAGTCAGCAATCCAGCATTTTGGAATATTTTGGGTCGGGTAGTGGATCCAAACGGAGCAAAGGTCCTGGTTTACCCCGGGTTGAGGAATGTTCAAAGGGTATTGACAGTAATCGCCACAGAGAGAAAATGGAAGAGGCCGAATCAGTTTGCTGCTCTAGAGAGGTCGTAGATGGTGGGATGAATTGGGAGGAGAGAGCTACTAGTCTATTGCGAAAGCATTTTCGTTATTCATCGTTGAAGAGTTTTCAAAAGGAAGCTTTGGCTGCTTGGGTTGCTAACCAGGATTGTCTTATACTTGCTGCCACTGGATCTGGTAATTCTGCTTTTCAAGAGCGATCCTTTTTGGTAGCAGTTGCTTAAGTCTGTTTTAATGGATGATTGTTCGACCAACTTGTAGGTAAATCTCTTTGTTTTCAGCTTCCAGCGCTCTTGACAGGGAAAGTGGTTGTTGTTATTTCACCATTGATTAGCTTGATGCATGATCAATGCTTGAAGCTGTCAAAACATGGAGTCTCTGCATGCTTTCTTGGATCGGGACAACCAGATAGCAGCGTGGAAAAGAAAGCAATGAGAGGAGCATACGATATAGTATATGTCTGCCCAGAGACAGTTCTCAGGTGAAACATGAGTTTTCACTTAAACTTGAAAGGAATGAGGTTGTGACATCTTTTGATTGAAGCAGTAATCTAATCTACCCCCCCTATGCAGACTGATTAATCCACTTCAAGGTCTAGCAGAAAGTCGAGGGATTGCTGTGTTCGCAATCGATGAAGTTCATTGTGTTTCTAAGTGGGGCCATGATTTCAGACCTGATTACCGGTTCGTATCCTTCACTTTGGCCTATGTAGTATCTTTTCGTATATGTTTCTCACGTAGCCTTCCCTCTAGTTTATACGTGGTAACAAGATATAATGTTTAGAAACTCCAGCAACTCTGGGAAGTGGGCACGTTATTTGCTTTTTTTTTCCTTTTCCAGGCGGATGTCCGTTCTGAGGCAGAATTTCAGTTGTAGCAGTTTAAAATGTTTGAGTTCTGATATTCCACTGATGGCATTGACCGCTACAGCCACGGTTCAGGTTCGAGAAGACATCCTTAAATCATTGAGGATGTCAAAGGAGACAAAAATAGTTCTTACTTCTTTCTTCAGATCAAACCTACGATTCGCGGTAACCACCCTGTCCTCCTTCATCAGCTCTTAGACAACCTAGATGTTTTTTGTTACATAGATGGACAATATTCTGACAAATGAAAAAGGGGTTAATCAATGAATAAATGCAAAATGTATTTATAATTCACTTGTAAGCCAGATAAGGTCTCTCAAGGAACAGAGCTTTGCCTCTCCCTGTCCTAAAAAATAAAAGAAAGTCGGAACACATGATGCGTCATTGAACTGCTATCTTCTTTCTTTATTCTTTTCTTTTAAGTATTTAACCTGTTTTCTTTCCACCATTGTGTTTTTTTTTTTTTTTTGTCAGGCTGAAAAATCTAATTGTATTTGTTTTTAACAGGTAAGACATAGCAGGACCTCTTCTCCAGCTTCTTATAGGAAGGATTTTCAGCAGCTGATTGAAATGTATACCGGAAATAGGAAGTGCAACAATAAAACACAAATCATGGCATCAAAGAAAGTCAATGATATGTCTGAGAGTTCTGCCTATGATAGCTCATCTGAGGAAGAAAGCAGTGATATAGATGAAGCTATAGTAGATTCAACTAAACAAAGTGGATCACCTGCTTCAAAGATCAAAGAGATGTCAATCGAGTATCTGGAGAATGACGTTGATGTCTTTCAAGATGTAGATGATTGGGATGGTAATCATTCTTCTCTTCCTTTTGAAATTGAGCTATTTTGTCATTGGACATTCAATTTTTAGAACTTAGAAATAAAAGTGCAAGTTAGAAATTTGACTGAGCTAATGATGCAACCTCTGTGCTGTGTTTTCATCAAACTATAGTTATTCTAATTCCATATATTTTATTTTGAAGTTTCACATGGGGAATTCCATGGGCAGCCTTCTTCCTCAGAATGGGATATGGATGAGTCATCTGAGGCAATCAATCCTCCTGACAATCCACAAAAGAGGCTAAAACTAAAGGAAGAGCAATTGGAGGAAGGACTCAGCATAATATACGTTCCTACAAGGAAAGAGACAGTGGGCATCGCGAAGTATCTCTGTGGTTTAGGTGTGAAGGCTGCTGCTTATAATGCATCGGTAATTATAGGAGCCTCACTTTAGTCTAGGTGGATGCGTACCTCGCATTATGTTAATGTGTTTTGTTAATGCCATTTTTGCCACATTTTCATTCCTGTGCTGCTGAAACGAAACTGAAACTTGAGTGTTTTATGTATTGCAGTTGCCAAAATCACATCTACGTAGGGTCCACAAGGAATTTCATGATAATATGCTCCAGGTACAAATATTAGAAACTGCAATTTTGGTTACAATTTTTGTCTCAGATCTAACTTGTTTATCATTTCAAGTGGTCTTTTTTATCTGTTTCCCTGTTAGTCTACAGTGATCTTGCCGTAATAATGAAGCACTATCTTAAACTTGCTTTCCATTTGAAAACTTATTTACATGTTCTTTAGTTTCTAACATAATGGTTGATTGATTAAGTCAATGACAGCAGCTTGAATATTTTGCTTACATACTCTTTCCTCCTTTCTAGGTTGTGGTGGCAACTATTGCATTCGGAATGGGGATCGACAAGCTAAATGTTCGAAGAATTATCCACTATGGATGGCCACAGGTTTGTTTTCGAGATTTGACTGTGCTGTATTTAGATTATGTATAGCTGTATTATTTTCAAAATTACAGAGTTGGGACAAATCCAAGCTTCTTTGTAACTTCATCTGAAACAATGCCATCTTCTGTGACTTCATGAATCTTGATCTCTCTATATATCAACTCTTTTCCAGAGTATAGAGGCTTACTATCAAGAAGCAGGCCGTGCGGGGAGAGACGGGAAGCTAGCAGAATGCAGTAAGTTAAGAATCACTTTCATAATTGCTGTAGTTGTTCAGAAACTTCATTCATCTCCACAAGTGAAAGGCCGACAACCTTTGTAATATCTTTCAGCCTTGTACGCCGACCTGTCAAGACTACCATCTCTGCTTCCAAACAAAAGAAGTGAAGATCAAACAAAGCAAGCGTATAAAATGTTGTCTGACTGCTTCAGGTTATAAGCGTGGACATCTTTCTTTCACTGTACTGCTGACTTCACTTTCATCTGATGATTTTGTGGGAGGCTTACCTTTTCATTTACTTGCTTGCAGGTATGGAATGAATACCTCGAGTTGCCGTTCCAAGATCCTCGTGGAGTACTTTGGGGAAGATTTTCGTCACGAAAAGTGTCTATCGTATGTGATCTATTCTTCCAATTTTACATCTATAACATTAACGCTGTGCTTGTTTTAGCTTTTGCTCGGAAAAAAGTGAACTTTTATGAGTTTCTTACATAAAGAATTAGTGTGTCTGTGGGACTTAGAAATTTCTAGTAATAAAGCTGAGTTATGAGATGATAGATAGTTTGAAATACTGAAGAAATGAGTGGGTTTTGGTCTTCGAGAAACGATTATTGTAAGTATAACTTTCAGATAGATTCTTATTTCACCATTAATATTTCGTGCGGTTCACCATTTTAAGCAATGTTGTCAGAATCGAACCGGAGCATGACCCGATAATGCGAATGGCTCGCATTTTAGTGGTCCAACCGGCATTAGACCGTTTAAAAACCGTTAGAGAACCGATACCTAATAAACGTTATCAGCATAAATAGTGGACATTTCTTAATCAGAGCTCGTCTCTTTCGTTTGAAATTGTGAAATGGAAATAAGGATTCAGTTTGAGAGCCCGATGTTTTTGGTTTATTTCAATTTTTTGCAATTTTCTTAATTAAATTTAAAGGCTGAATGGCAAAACCGGACGAGCGGCTCGATCGGCTCAAGCGGTTAACCGCCTCGGCCACTCGTCAACCGCTACATAAAACCGGAGCGGCTTTTAGACTGTTCCGAACCGGTTTTGTGACTGGGTGGCGGTTTTACCGGTCGGGCTGAGCGGCTCGGTTCGGCTTTAATAACACTGATTTTAAGATTTTAGATAGGTTGGAGTGGGAAAATTTTGTTTTAGCTAAAACAAACGTAACCTTTGCTTTGCTAAAACTGCCTACTGACTTTTGAAGCAACTTCCCACCTGAAACCTCGCGTGATGCAGGTGTGATGTATGTGTCGGTGGACCTCCCAACATGCAGAACGTGAAAGAGGAAGCTGATGTTCTGATGCAGATTATTGCTGCTGCGTATCACGTAAGAAACTCTAATAAAGGCTCCACATTCTTACTCGTGGTTGGAAACATGTTTTCGTTGGAGTCCGATAAAATGACGTATTCGTCGTAAAGTTCTCACATGAAACTTGCCGTTTAAATTTCAGGCACAGACTGATTTCGGTGATGGCTATTATGATGATTTGATTGGTGATGCAAAACCACAAAGACTAGTGCGAACACCTGATCTCAGAACTTTAGTTAGTAAGATAAGGGAGCAGGTACACCAAGTTCATAGTCAACAACATAGCAGCAGCAGTAGTATTGTATTTATCCATGTCCTGGAGTCTCTAACAATGTCTACTATGAACCAAATGCAGTTACCAAAGTTCTGTGCTACTGATCAGCTGTGGTGGCGAGGTCTGGCTCGAATCCTGGAACAGAAAGGATTCATAAAAGAGAGCGACGGCAAGGTATGAATCCTTCAATCATGGTTCCCTAGTACATGGCAAATGGTGGGCATTTCTAGTGGTGGTATGCTCATCCTACTAAAGTGTACTACTTGTTTACTGGATTCTGTACTATCCGGTTTTGATCTGGTCCATATAATTATCTGGTTTCAATCAAGCCAATAGTACCTAATGATTCCCTATCCCTACTAAATCTTGCTACTTTATTTCCAGGTCCATGTGCAGATAAAGTTTCCTGAACCAACGAGGCTGGGGCTTGAATTCCTGGAGTTCGATCGAGATCAGCCTTTCCATGTTTACCCTGAAGCAGACATGCAACTGTCAATAAACAGCACCAAAACTTTCTCCAGTTTTGCAGAATGGGGGAGAGGCTGGGCTGATCCAGAAATCCGTCGTCAGCGCTTGGCGAGGAAGAGATCATCACCATCGAAGAGAAAGCCAAGGAAAGCGAGGAAGAAGGGTCGAGCAACTAACAAATTTGGTGGTGGCCGGAAACCTGACTTGAAGACCGCGAGAGGTAGAATAGCATCAAAACTCTTTAGTCACTAGTGATAAACCAGACTGGTGACTGATGTAGCAAAAGCATGTAATCAAAGTTAACTCAGAGAGCTAAACTCTCCGGAGTCATTCTTTAGTCTTCCTAGTAGCACTACTCAAGAACCATACACAAGTATCAGAACTGGCTTTGTGGTTCAGGAACAATGTTGGAGAGGGTGATAATTATCCAATTCATCTTTGATGGCAATTAGGTTACCATAATACTCTGACAGACTGACTACATTGTTTTAGACTGCTTAAAGCTTCAGTAAGTTCAGCTATCCTTATCACATCTCCTTGGCCATACCTCGATCTGAGACTTCTTCAGGCTTTAAGGGAAGTTTTGCAGGACATGATGGTCTTTCGGATGCTGGGATCAACTGCTTGTTGGATCCATGAAAGGACCATGACATTGTTCTTGTTTCGGGCCCATAATTCTGGTGATTCTCTCCTGGACGTGTGATTGTGTCATTGACAAATCCAAGCTTGTTTTTGGCTCCCAAGGCATTTAACATGGCCTGGCTCCAGTTGTTATAGTTGGCAGTGGTAAGCTTCTCTCCCACCAACGGCATCCCTGATGATAGAAACCTATTAGGTTCTATCGGGTTTTAGGGATTTGGGCAAGTAACAATCACCAAGGTGGTGATTATGGTTGATTTGGGGAAAATGGGTTGGGATAGGGGATTTGAAAATTGAAGTGGAGGAGGGGAAGAGGCTGCTGTCGCAGCAGTAGAAGGGAAGGGAAGAAGTTGGGTCGGCCGAGAGAGAGAGAGGAAGGGAGAGGGATTAGAGAGGTATTAGGGTTTTAATCTTGCTTAGTGGTTTAATTCCCACGTACAAGTAGTTTATATAAAAATAGGAAATTCCCTACCACTACCCGAATTATTAAATAACTCCCAATTTGCCCCAATAATTCTCAAAGAACAATAAACCGACAAAGTAATCCGAATAAACAAAACTATGAAAATGCAGGTTTCTATCATCCCCGCCCCTTGGAAACAACCTTGTCCTCAAGGTTGACTTGAGCTCACTGCTTCTCTTCCAAGGCCTCCATCGCCTCATCTTCTGCTTCATCTTCCCAACGTCCCACCAGCATCATCACATCTGGCCTTGCACACTGATGACCGAAGGTGAACCGCTCATTGCAGTTGAAGCACTTGCCCTCTTGGCGCTTCTGTTCAATCTCAGCGAGTGTCAGCCTGACGAAGCCCTTCGGTGGGGCACGCGGACCTGGTATTGGCCTTGTCGCCGTCGGTGGTGGTGGCGGATCTCCTCCTGCAGCTCCGGTTCTCGCTCCTGCGGCCGCACTACCCCCTCCACTGCCCCCGGGGTTGCTGCTTCCCCCGCTGCTCGGCCTCGGGTAACGGCCGATGACGCTCCTCCAGCTAGCCAGTTCCTCCTCCTTGTGACCTGCATAACGGAAAGCAGTTCTTACCGAGTCGGGTTCGAACACCCAGACAGCTGCCGCGATCTCCGGCTTTAGGCCAGCCAAGCATAGGCCCACCAGTGTTTCTTCCGGAACCCCTTTGCAGTGTTTCCCTAGCTTGAGAAACTCCGACCGATACTCCGCCACTGTTCCGGTCTGTCTCAACTTAGCTAGCTGCTCGGGGGTCCATCCCTCTGATTTTCCGAACTGGTAACGAAGTTCCTCTTGGAACATCGGCATGTGATCAGAGTTCCCGTAGCCGCGTACGACCTCTCCAACCATTCCCACCAGTGCAGCGCGTCACCTTCCAGGTAGAAAGACGCCAGATGCGCCTTCCGCTCCTCCCGAGTCGGGTGGTTCTTAAACCACCTATCAGCTGCATACAACCACAACCTTGCATCCTCTTGCCCATTGAATTTCGGAAATTCAATGGTTGGAGGCTAAGCTCTGAAAACTAAGTCATCATCCACATCATTAAAACGGTCATACCCAACATACCTTCCACTGTGCAGATTTCTTGGCCCTCGGTTCATGAACTCGGCTCCCTCCTCGCCTCGGGGTGGCCTGGCATACCAAATCCTCGAGTCAGGGGTTACCCGCTCGGTCCGTCCGGTCCCACGCGCGACGGGTGGAAGCCTCCCGCCTCACTACACGATCCGCGACCGCCCATAGGGAATCCTTGATTCGGCCCGCCCTGCTGCTGGTTACCCCGACCCGGTTCAATGTCGGTTCGACCCGGTTGGGTCCACCCGAGCCCGATCGGATCGGTCCTGGCCCACCCGCCTTGACCGGCCTGATGGGACCCGAACCCGTCCTGGTCAATCGCCCACCTCGGGTCTGACCCGGCTGCCCGCTGGTTGGGCTCGGCCCACTTCTCTGGTTGGCCCGCCAGACTAAGCTCATCCTCTTCTTGAGCAGATTCTGGGCTCAACCATCCTAGCCCGTTAGGCACCCAGGCCCGGCTCCCCTCTTCTTCATGGTTCAGTGGACCCACATTGTCATAGCCCGACATTTTGGCATTGCCCTTCCGAGCCGCCATCTCTTGGGCCGTCGGGGTCGGAAGTAGGCCTGCCTCACGGTTGGGCCCAAGGTAAACTTGGCCTGCACGCCCGGTCTCCAGCCCTAGCCTGGTGGCCGAGGCGGCCGATCCTCCTGCTCCTGTGGCCACCGCCGCCGCCGCCACTTTCGCGGCTCCGGCCGCCGCCGCTTGGCTCGCCGCCGTCGTCGTCTTGCCCATCACCGCCGCCGCGATCGGCCCTTCACCACCCTCACGCCCGAAATCTACCGGTGTCTCGATCCTCGGCGGATTGCCTTGTCTCGCCTCTGCATCCCGCGTCAGTTTGCTTAGGGGTCGCCGAATTTCATCCATCTCTTCGCGACGTCGCTCCTCCACCACCTCCCGCTCTACCATCAGCCTCTTCACAGTAACCTGGAGTTCGCCCACGGCGATCTGGAGTTCTTCCAGCCCGGTCTCGTCCACCACCCTGACCGTCTCCACCGCCGCAGCAGCCGCCGCAGCAGCCGCCGCCGGCCCACCTTCACCGCCGCTGCCTTGCCCCGTGGCTGCGGTGGTCGCGGTCGTCTTCTCCCGGGCCGCCTCCTCTACGGCTTTCTCCGCAGCCTTCTGAGATTTCGTCACCGCCATAACGCGATCCTGCTCTTGGTTGATTTGCTTAGATTAGAACGGGGCTCTGATACCAGATGATAGAAACCTAAAATTAGGTTCTATCGGGTTTTAGGGATTTGGGCAAGTAACAATCACCAAGGTGGTGATTATGGTTGATTTGGGGAAAATGGGTTGGGATAGGGGATTTGGAATACTAGGGGTGGAGAAATCGGTACTATATCGGTATCCCAATACCAAATACAGAAATCTTGAATACCGAATTACACTTGAAAATCAATCCCAATCTCAATCTCAATCCCTTAATAATTTCGGTATCCCAATCTCAATCCCTAAATATTCCGGTATCCCAATCGTACTTCGATATCCAATCAGTATTATCGAATACGAAATTAATTATATTTGAAGTTAATAATAAAATATATAAATTAGATTTGATTGTTTAATTTAGGACAAAGAGACTAAGCAAAGAGTATTGAGTTTGCCTGGAGCTAGGATATGGATAAGGAGAATGAAGGAGAGGTGACATCTCAAGTTCTTGTCATTGATAATCTTTAATTTGACGAATTGGAGACTGAGAGATGACTATACTAGTGTTTATTTTTTGTGTTATGAAAATAACAAGTGATTAGGTGAGAGATGAGAGTGACTTAAATTGTAAAGTCAAAATTGAGTTGGATGGTGATTTCTGAGTTGTGAAACAAAGATGGAATGATCTATGTATAATTATAAATCACTTTTGGTGGTTGAGGGTCGTGTAGTAGGGAATGAGAGAGTCTAGTTGAGAGGATAAAATACACACTATCTTATATTTTGGTATTGATCGGTATTTCGGTATATACCGATTCCAATCTCGTAATTCCTAATACCGAATTACAATTGAAATTCAATCTCAATCTCAATCCTAAGAAATAATACGTGTATTCGGTAATCTACAATGTTAAAACATGGGTTGGAATTCACCCATTTCAAATTTCGTGGCTTGAGAGTGATTCTTGGAAGGTCATTTTTGTCATTGCACCCAGTTCTTGTTTATATATTTAAAATGTTATCATTGGAGTTCAAACCTTGGTCACTTGAATGAAGAAAGAACATTATAACCAACTATGCTACATTTTATTTACTATTATTTCTTTGATTGAACTTTAGAAACATGTTTGGTGATGATGCTTCTATATTTATATTTATCTTAAGTTATTTATATTTTATAGAAAGATATTAGTTCTGAAATTGGAACTCAAGTATTATTGATTCAAACATTAATATTAAATTGTAGGTTAATGTCTATTTTTTATCCAAACCTTTTTCAGATTCTTTTATATTATCTAAACCTATTAAAATGCTTTTTTTTTTTGGTAGTAATTAAAATGCTATTAATTAGCCAAATCTTTCGTAATTCATCAATATATTAGCCATTTTTACGTTATCATTAATAATTTTGTAACTCTTTTCTTAGTTAAAATACTAAAATTTTGGAATGTTGACCTTCATGTGTCTCTTCCAAGTCAGTATCATGTTGCCAAGTCAATATTACTAACAAATTGCTAATTGAAAGTTAACATTTGGCTAATTCTTAATATTTCGATAGGTTTGGATAATATAAAAGAATTTGAAAAAGGTTTGGATAAAAATATAGACATTACCCTAAATTGTATGTAGGGATGGCAATGGGTCGAGTTGGGGCGGGTTTTGTCAAACCCAAATCCAAACCCATGGGTTTATCCGCCAAAAAAACCCGGGGTAAAACCCGTTGGGTTTGAAAAACTCAAACCCAACCCAACCCGCTGGGTATCCGCGGGTTCATGGGTACCCGTGGGTTTTTGTGGTAAAAAATTTACAATAACAAATTTCTTTCAAAATAAAAGTTTAACATCAATTTTCTCATACAAATTATTCATACAAAAAATACCAATCTAGAACATACAAGCAAACCGCAAATGATCAATACAAATTGTTCAAAATTAAAGATAAACATCTATAAACAACAAGATTAATTGAAATCTTCTTCCTCGTCAAATAAGTTTCTTCACTCTTCACTCCATAATATCAACTTCATTCTAAATAATTAGAAAGAACAAATTATACATGTCTCCACAAACATAAATAATATTAGTTGTTTAAAGAAGATATATTATTTAGAATATTAAATATATCGGGAAAGTAATTATATGTGTGGGCGGGTACCCATGGGGCGGGTTTACCTAAACTCAAACCCAACCCAACCCGGTGAATAGTGTAGCGGGTTTAAAGCCGAACCCGGCCCAAAACCCGTCAACACGGGTTTTACCCGCGTTGACCGGGTTGGGTCGGGTGGGTACCCGTGGGTTCGGGTTTTGTTGCCATCCCTAATTGTATGTGTTATTTAGTTCAGACAAAATACAGAAGTGTGACCAAAACATGGAACTTTGTGACGAGTATAATCGTTTTTTTGTGACAAATTTACACATAATATAATGATAAAATTGGAAAATGAGAGTCTCATTTCAAATTCCTTGGCCGGAGAGTGATTCTAGGAAACTCTTTTTCGTCATAGTGTCCAATTTATTTTTATATTATGTGTAGATTTATGAAAAAAATTACTATATTTGTCACAAAGATCTATATTTTGGCTACACATACGTATTTTGTCTAAACTGAACCACACATACAATTTATTATTTACTATTTGTATCAATGTCACTTGAGTTCGATTTCACAATTAATGACTTTCTATAAGATATAATAATTTCAGGTAAAATACATTTCCTACTTGGTTGAAGAAACCATTTCTATAAGATATATTCAATGTTTTAAAATTTTCTATTTCAAATTTCGTGTAGCGAGAGTGAAAGTAGGAAGAGTATTTTTGTCATGATAATTATTATCTACTTCATATGAAAAAGTATCAATATCAAGATTTGAACTATGGTCTCTTCAAACAAAAACAATAATCACAACCAATTAAACTAAACAAATTTGTTTTATCTTTTTAAATTGTAAACATGCACTAAGCGAAGATTTGAAAAGCAGAGGACTTTGACGGTTAGCTAGCCTATTAATCTTCTGAAAAGCAAAGTTTAGGACTTTGCTACGGTGACATGCATGTCATGGTGACATGCATTTTTCGGTCGACCTCATATAGGATTAGGTCGACCTAATCTGTTGTTTCAGTATAAAAACAGTTTAATGGTGCTTACTTTGGAGATTCATATCTTACAATTGGCTAGATGGTAATTGAAGATTAAAGGCTTGTATTGAAACTGAAGTGTCCCTCTACACATTAAAGTACTTGTGAGCTCAATAGAAAGTTCAGAAGACCATTTTTGAACCTGCCCAAAAGACTATGCCAAAACTGGGAAACTGCCTGAAAATGGCTAAGTCTGGCAACGTGTTTGTCAAGGCTACTTTGGAGCTCAATTTGAGAAGCATGGATGCGAGTCAAGTCCAGGGGCCTCTACCACGTTAAATTACGTATTTTTTTATACCAAGGAAAGTCATTGGATGAAAGATTGAATATCTTTAAGGATTCAAACAAAAGGCTCGAAATTGCTACGAAGGCTGTTTTTCTGGCAGCTTGCTTGTGCTCGAAGTCTGCCAGAAAAAACAGCCTTCGTAGCAACTTCGACCCTTTTGTTTGAAGCCTTACAGATATCGAATCTTTCACCAATGCCTTGAATTTGTATAAAAACATACATAATTTAACGTGGTAGAGGCTCCTGGACTCGACTCGCATTCATGCTTCTCGAATTGAGCTCCAAAATAGGCTTCACAAACACGTTTCCAGACTTAGCCATTTCCAGACAGTTTTCCAGTTTTGGCATAGCCTTTTGATGAGGTTCAAAAATGGTCTTCTGGACTTCCTATCGAGCTCTCAATCACTTCAATATGTAGAGGGACACTCCAGCTTCAAAACAAGTCATTAGTCTTCAATTTCCATCTAGCCAATTGTATGATATGAATATCCAAAGTAGGCACCATGAACTGTTTTTACACTGAAACAACATATTAGGTCGACCTGATCCTATATGAGGTCGACCGAATCCTAAATGAGGTCGACCGGATCCTATATAAGGTCGAGCGGATCCTATATGAGGTCGACCGAATTCTAAATGAGGTCGACCTAATCCTAACTGAGGTCGACCGGAAAGTGCAAGTCACCGTGACATGCATGTCACAGTAGGCACACCCCAAAGTTTAATGTGTGATTTATAATTTATATAACCTATAAAATGACGAATAATCTTAAAATTGCAACACACATTTCATTGCTTGAAATATTGCATATCGAACTGCAGTATTGAATATGAAAAAGCGATTTAGAATTCTTTAAAATAATATTAAATTTCATAACTAATACGAAACAATAATATTTTGTACAAACTATAGGTTACTGGTTCTCTAAAATTTTAGCCTGGTTAACTGGTAAACGTTAAACTCTTGCTAATCGGGCATGAATGGACCCGACAATAATGAGACGATATCGCGTTTAATGTGATATTCATTTCGTCGGTTTTGGATCGGATGTGTTGATCAATTTATAGGGCATTAACAAATAAATGAGTTATAATTAACCTCATTATACAATTTCTACTCTTTATAATAATTAATTTAATCTTAATATTTGTGATGTTTGAAATATTTTATGTATGATTTAGATGTATAATTATTATTTGTGACATTAGTTGTAGTTTATTCAAATGTAGTATTTAATAAGGTAGTCAAAATCAAATAGTGGGTGCATTTATGACTGTTTTTATCTTGGTGTTGTGAATAGGTAGAAACTTAATTATTATAATGCCTATAATTATACCTAGGCACATGATCGAGCTAGCACGACACAGTTAGAGCATACCATGAAGACAATGTATATGGATCCACCATGTACAAGCATGAAGAAATGTGTCATTTGATAAAATAAAATAAAATATTCTAAAAATAACATATAAAATTTGAATTAATGAGTAGTTTCTCACATCAACGTGTAATGACTCATATTTTAAAAGGTTTATAAAATAAATTCATTATTTATTTTGAGACTCAAGCCTTTTTCAATGTATACAACTAAAAATTCATTTACAAAATCATTCTTGATTAACTCTATAGCTGAAAAGTCTTTTTTACAGCTTCCAGTAATAACAAACAACGTCAACAATAACTTTAGAAGCAAGTAAAGTGAAGAAGAAATTGGGGTTTAGTATTTGTTTGCAAATGTGGTGTGGGGGGGGGGAGATTTTTTTGTCTAAATTTTTTCAGGAAGGGTTGAAACTCATATATAATTTGTTTGCAAATGTGGTGTGGGTGGGGGGGGGGGGGAGATTTTTTTGTCTAAATTTTTTCAGGAAGGGTTGAAACTCATATATAATTTGTTTGAATATTGAATATTTCATATTGAATTGGAGTATTGAAAATTTTGAAAGCTATATATAATTCTTAAATTAGAATTAATTTTCAGCTCGGTGGTTGACCAATAGTCTTAGACCTTTTGCTAATTTGACATGGATCCAATAATGATGAGATGAAATTTAGATTAATATGGCGTCGGTTCAAAACCATTTTTTATGTGTAATGAATTTGTACGACAAATACATATAAAGTGAAGATGAACCTGATTATGCATTTTGATTCTTTAGATAAATACAACGGTTTAAGACTTTAAGCGATGAACTAACTATACACTCACTCGATTGGTTTAATGAGTTCTCATTTTTATCACTTTTAATAATTAGTTCATTCACAAACTATCAACCTACTTTGCTCCGTCGATGAATAAGCGACCATCTATTTGCCAGGTTTCAGGTGCTCTGATTCACACTATCAACTGTGAATGGAAAAGAAGCATTTCGAACGTAAAATTGAAAAAGTAATTGAGATGTTTCTAGGTTTCTCTCGATTCCATGCGGTGGGAAGAAAGAGGAAGGGAAAAGGGGGAGAGTTGTGAGATACAAAGCCGAGAGAGAGAGATGAAAGAACAAATGGAAAACAAAGAGGAAGGCAAAGAGAGAGTGAGAGAACACATTTAAAAGAGGAGGAAAATGAGGTAGTGTGAAATAATTGTCCTTTTGTTTTGATTAGTGGATATTCTTGGCCCTATTCTGTTGACTTTTTATTTATTTAAGGAGATGCATTATATTTGACATATTTTTTCCATTTTAATTTAAAATTCTAAATCCATATTATCATTTGGAATACTTTTCCTTAATACGATTATTGTAATTTCTAAGATTTAAAAGGTATTTGATTTTGTCAATATTTTAATGGTTTTTTATTTATAGTTTGTATTGAAAGATTGTGCGTACTGGCGGTTAGACCATAAAACTTCACATAATAGGCTAAATCGATAGGTGATATTTAGCAATATGAAACGGTTGAACCACAATTAAATTATGACTTCAATATAAAATATTCTACTACCAGCTTTTTCGATACGATTTTACAATCCTTTGGTTCAAACAATTCTTTTAGACTTGTGGAAACAAAAGTTTTAAGGCACATTTTGAACTATTTATCGCAATAAAGCATAAGTCAGTTAGCAATAATGAGAATATGTGATCTCATGCAACCCAGAAGACACTTTGCAACTTCTATCTTTTCAAAATAAATGTATGCTACTCATACCCTCGCTCTCTATTGAGAAAAATTTTAAGGACATACTAAACTCTATTAGACAATTTCTTTCATCCTAAAGGTTGATTATTTATGTATTATGAGAAACAACTCTAATATTCAACTATATGGTCTAATTAAGTAATGAATGACAATTAGTTATATTTTTTTCATTCAATAATTATATGTAATACTTATATTATATTTTTTCTCTTTTCATGGAGGTCTAAAAACATTATGCATAGTTGGATCACTTTCAAAAATGTTATGTGCTTAACTAAGATATAAAACAATCATTTCATGCATTTCAAATTATCTATTATATCTATTATTATATACCATATTTCTCGACAAAATTATTCCGGCTAACAGGTCAGACCCTATGCTAGTAACAAATATAGACAAATTCGATATGATATTCGGTGTATCCCAAATACCAATACCAAACTTCCAGCCCTAGGTAATATCGTGCGTATTAGCGGGCCTGCAGGTAACGAACCCTGGGCCCAAACAAAGCCTCATGAACTGTATCAAATTGACTTCTCGTCCACGTGCCTAGTGGCTGCGCTAACACGCGTTGCTTTCTGATTGCGCAGTACATTACATCACGGATTGGTGACATGTAACTATACAGGCCGTACAGATCTGGGTTAATTAATCTAATCTGTTTATAGATCAGGAAATTCGACGCGGATCGCCAGCGTGGCGGGTGATTTATAAACGAACTCGTTCCCTAACCCAACTCAGTTTCCCCATCAATCTCCCAAAAAAGCAAAAATCCCCCAAATCCGATTTAGCAGCCATTTCCGACCCATTTTCTCTCCATTTTCAAATTCCGCTTCCTTGATTCTTCTCCCTGCTCGTGATACACATCAATGGATTCCGTAGCGAGGTCAGAAACTACGGCGGCGACACCGAAGGGCGCCGGCGGGAGACGAGGAGGGGGCAATCGGAAGAAGGCGGTTTCCAAATCGGCGAGGGCCGGGCTCCAGTTCCCCGTCGGCCGTGTTTTCCGGTTCCTGAAGAAAGGCCGTTACGCCCAGAGGTACGGCGCTGGATCTCCGATCTACCTCGCTGCCGTTCTCGAGTATCTTGCCGCCGAGGTAATTTTCTTCAGATCCGATTCTCTAGCTTTCCGTTCAATTATTCTCTTCTCCGAAGTAATCGAAACGTTTGGATCCATCTCGTCGTCTGTCTAGGCAGCAATCGCATTTTCGCGATTGTTTTTCCCTGCAAAATTTCCCCAGTTTTCTCGACAACCAAACAGGGGGGTTGAATTGGCTTGATTTTAATTTTGAACAGGTTCTGGAACTGGCTGGGAATGCGGCGAGGGACAACAAGAAGAACAGGATAAACCCGAGGCACCTTCTTCTGGCGGTGAGGAACGATGAGGAGCTGGGGAAGCTGCTGCAAGGAGTCACCATTGCTAGTGGAGGTGTTCTTCCCAATATCAATCCAGTCCTCCTGCCCAAGAAGAAGATCTCCGAAAGTTCCTCTGCATCGGAGCCGAAATCCCCAAAGAAGAAGGGCGCTTCAAAAGCTGAATGAAAATCCATAGTTAGATTTTGTTCCCGTGTAATTGAATGAGCGAACGATTGTAGTAGTTAAAATTGTCAGCCATGGCAGTGAAAATTTGCAGTAGCACTAGTTCTTAGGTCATATATAATATATAGATCAATTAGTTGCTCTCTTCTTGTTCAAGTACTCTGTAGCTAAAGTTGATAATGGAAAAATCATCCCTTTGTTGAGTTCTCTACTTCATTCTCAATTGCATTTCATCGTGGGCTGAAAAAGATGGCCTGATGCTTAATCCCGTGGGCCACGCAAGGGGCCCAAAAGGCAATAAGTGTTTGTGTTGTCTCCCAATTCCGAAGCTTCTCGAGGTTCTTTCCGCGCGCGGTGAGAGATTAATCGGCGCAAGCAACCAACAGTCGGCACAGTAGCAGAATGAATTCACTTCTGGTAAGTGGGAAGAAGCAGTATCCATGGTTCTGCTTCAGTTCAGGAGATTAGCCCCGCGCTACTTTTGGTTTCAAGCTTCTTTTCCGGTTTCTCTTCCCTTTCGGTTAAGCTTTGCATTTGACAAGATTGCTTGCTCTCTGTTTTCTTTTGCTTCATTCGGCAGAGAAAAGCTACCGGAGATGCTTTCCGCCGGATCGCCGCCTTAGCTGCTGGCGCCGGCGGTGGGACGGCTCTCCTTTACGCGGATGCGAAGTCGGATTACAGTAAGCTCTTCGAAAGCTTGCTCCTTTTGATCACTTGACTTGTGGGGTGGAAATAGAATGCGCATTTGAGTGAACTGATTGATATTTTCAGGTGCGAGGGTATCACTTTCGATACCCGAGGAATGGCGGCAATCGCAATCGGTTCTGTGCCCGGTTCCTTCTTCCGTTTCAGCAGAGTACGGGGAATTTGGTTGGTATTCATTCTTTCTTCAAGGCTTTCATTTTTGTTTCAACCCCATTATTTCCGTTTTGAAGTGTGTTGTGTTGTGATTGGTGTGGTAGGAAATCTTCTATTGTTTTCGTCTAGAATTGGTCCGGTGCCTTCGGCTGGCGCTGATAATGGAGGTAGTGAAGATGTTGGAGATAAACACAAACCAAATTGCGGATGTTTGGGGAGGGATACTATTGCCAATGCAGCTGCTAGGGTTGCTCCAGCTGTTGTCAATCTTTCTGTTCCACATGGTACTTCTAGAAAATCTTAGGATTATCTCATTGAATGCTGATGAGGATAACTGGAGCTTATGGACGAGAATTCACAAGGGGATTTGGCTCTCATTTTGTAGGGTTATATGGGTATCCTGCTGGAAAGAGTATTGGGTCTGGAACTATTATCGACGCTAATGGTACAATCTTAACGTGCGCTCATGTGGTGGTTGATTATCGGGGCATGAGACCTTTGTCTAAGGGAAAGGTGAGTCAATTCATATGATTGCACAGCAAGGGATGAACTATGATATCTACCATGACCACTGAGACTTACGAGTCTATTAGATGGGCAACTGGCATGCCGTGTTTACTGACGCTTGATTCACCTATTTGTTGTTTATCTATTGTGTTTGGGGGAAAATCATGAACTTTAAACAATTGTATATCTTTTTCTTTGTGTGTTGACGTGTTCCCTTGACTGTCCGATTTGATGTTTCACTGTCCGCTGGGTTATTTCAGGTTGATGTCACTTTGCAAGATGGCAGAACATTCGAAGGCACAGTTCTGAATGCAGATTTACATTCTGATATTGCCATTGTGAAGATAGATTCCAAAACTCCATTACCAGTAGCAAAACTTGGTTCTTCATGTAAGCTTCGTCCTGGGGAATGGGTGTTGGCTACGGGCTGCCCGCTCTCTTTACAAAATACTGTTACAGTTGGTATTATAAGGTAGACAACGGCAACTGAAAGATCGGCAGATTTATGGTTGAGTAGCGTTAGATTGCTGAATGGCTTCCCACTTTACAACAATGTATAATGCTATTTACCCTTTTGTTCTAGTTGTGTTGATCGTAAAAGCAGTGACCTGGGTCTTGGAGGAGTTCGACGTGAGTATCTACAGACAGACTGTGCAATCAATGCGGTAGATTTCTTATTAACCATCTCTTCCTTGGGTAGAAGTTAGTAAGCAAATTTTTTTTTTTCTGGTATTGTTAGTAAGCAAGGTTTTGACCATGTGATTCGTCAATTTGCTAATGTGCAGGGAAATTCTGGTGGACCGCTTGTTAACATTGATGGAGAAGTCGTCGGAGTCAATATCATGAAAGTATTGGCTGCAGATGGACTGAGTTTTGCCGTTCCAATTGATTCGGTTGCAAAAATTATAGAGCATTTAAGAAAGAGTGGGTGTGTACTCAGTTCTCCTTGCTTTCAAGTTTTTCTTCTAAATTCTGTGATGACACATGAATCCTTTTCAATCTCCTTGATTTAATAGTTACGCTTTTGCAGAAGAGTCGTCCGGCCTTGGATTGGTTTGAAAATGATTGAACTCAATGACATGATCATCGCTCAACTGAAAGAAAGGGATGAGATGTTCCCTGATGTGGACAGTGGCATTTTTGTACCTATGGTATGCTCTGGAACTTCAATGTACGACTGAATCGTATATAGAGCGTATTTGGACGGCGTTTTCATGAACTGAGAAGGAACGACTTAAGAATGCAGTCAAATGCACATATGTTCGAAGTCATGTTTATTTAAACAATATTATTAACTCTACTTAAGATTCATGGTGTATCACCTGTGGAGTTCCATTTCAGGTTACGCCGGGATCCCCTGCACACCGTGCCGGATTTCAACCTGGCGATGTTCTGATCCAATTCGACGGAAGACCCGTTGGGAGTGTCAAGGAGGTAAACCAAAACAGATGCTCTGTGGTGCAAATTGCAAGTGTTTCTTGTTGCTCTTGCCCTTTAGTAGCATTGACTGTTGTTTTACTACGTAACAGGTGATCGACATCATGGATGATAGAGTCAGCGTACCCTTAAAAGCTATAGTAAAGAGGTCGAAAGACATGACCGTAACCTTGACTGTCATCCCAGAAGAAGCAAATCCACAGATCTGAATGCTAAGTTTGGCACCATCTCTTTTTGTTACCAATTGAGAATTGAGTTTGTCGAGGATTACAAATTGGTATGACGATGGTGCAAGGGATGTCGGGTACTCCAATAACCATTCACACCCGGCATTGCATAGATTACGTCGGATAGTATGGCTCAAGGCGTTGGCTCAAGGGCAGCTAGATAGGATGAGTTTAGAACAGAGAGGCCTGACAGCTTGTTTGAATTGATGAGTTGTTTTTCTGAGTGTTTGTAATAATGGATTGTGCATTGCATTGCTTTTCGAATAGTGAATACATAAATTTGAAGAATGCAGCGTGGATGAATGCTTCTGGTTATGGATTCTGAGACGAAATTTTGACTTGAGAGATCGAACTTTCACTAAGGGGTCGTTTGGAGAACAGGATTCAGGATGTGGATTTACTGAATCTGTAGATTTTATAGAAAGTTATGTTTTTTTTGTTGCTTTTTGTATTGTGGATTCTAGTTTTAAAATTTTTTTTGATAAATGGATGCATCGCATCTAGCTTTCATTCACAACCAAACGGGTCTCAGAAAGACCTTGACAGTCATACAAAAGAATGTGTTGGAAATCAGGGATAGAACAAGATACATTATGTAAGCCTAAAGGAAGATCGTGGCCATAGTTTTAAAATTTGCAGATATGAAATCTCTCATAATTAGAGAGATTCTATATCTTGATTCGTGAAATTTTTTTTCTCCTAGTTTTTCTCTTCTTTTTATTAATTTATCACATGAAATATATTTATCAACAAAGTTTTTAATATTTCTTGAACCACTTTATTTTTTTTATTAAGGATAAATATGTTATTTAATATAATATTGAATTTTTATTTTTATTGAATGTTAACAATCACAGTTACTAAATAATAAACATTTTAAAATTTGTTTTCAACAATCCGAAGAGTTAGAATTTTTAGATTGTTGACAATCAGTAGATTTAAACTCATATTCTACAAACGACGGGATACCCGTCCCGTTTGAAACGGGTACCCAGTCCCATTTGGAGAACAAAGTCCATCCCATGTCCCAACCCATATAAGTAAACGGGTACCCATTACCCGTACGGAACGGATAACGGGTACCCATACTACCCATAAATACCCAAAATTTGAATCACTAAAATTTTAATAAAAGTTTAAACTTAACTTGTGCCCCTACTTAACAATCACAATATCCATTCGTATTACAAAATTCATCCCAATCACACAATATAACAAATACTCGGTTTACAACCTACATGAACAATCACAAGGCATAGTATAAAGCATTCCAAGCACCCATAACATAAACAACTAAGAAAGTAAGAAGCTGCTGCTGTTGCTGTTAGTTGCAAGTTGGAACTATAAAATTATAGTTGCTGTAAAACTAATTTGGGGAATGGCACGCTGTTGTATGTTCCAACTAGCAAGCTGCTAGGTGTTTTGCTCCAATTTCGAATTCAAATTCCGATGACCCCGCTGGCAGCTGCAAGCCTGCAACTTGCAAAAATGATAATTCTTATTGTCGCGACAGCGTGGAAGGACGGCTGGGCTACAGAGATTATGATTGTTGCGACGATCGAAGAGAATACAGCCTGGGGAGAGATCAAAGAGTCAAGGCGAGTTGCTGGGCACTGATTGCGCGGTGCGCTTTGGCCTTTCAGTTTCAGTTTCAGGTTTTGAGCCTTTGTATAATGAACGGGTTTAACGGGTACCCATATTACCCAAACGGGTATTTGCGGGTAACCCGAGGGTACCCATTGTAGTAATGTACAATCTCAAGTCCCATCCGTTAATAATATTACGGGTATTATGGGTACCTGTAACCCTCAAAAAACGAAACGGATATGAGTATACCCAAATACCTGTTACCCGTTGCCCACCCCTATGCCACACCCCAAACCTACAGTTTCTAGCCTTCTATGAAAGTATCGAATACTGCCTACCTAAAACGGGTGTAGAGCTGTCAAAATCTAAGCAGATAGCACAATGGTCACAAATTTACCCGACTGGTGATTCCACTCATCAATTAACTTCAACTATTTACAAGTGACGAATTATTACTCCTTTTAACTGGAGAGAAACAGAATCACAGGCATAAATAAGAATTTTATACTAACAGCAAAGAGGGGCAAAATTTTTAGCACAGTTTACTTTTCCCTTCATAACTACATTGTCTTGGTGAAAGTTTCTCCTGGCTTCAAGAAATTGTCGGCACTAAGATAATTATGGTGTTCCAACTGCGTCATCTCCCCCCCTTTGGCAGGATCAAACTCGCACTTGTAAAAGCTGCAACCAAAACAACAACCAAAAGTGCTCTATCACAACTAGAACTCAATGCACAGCCGGCGCTTATTAGAAAAGACTATTGTGCTTATAGCTGCAACTGGACTGAGACCTAGAGCTTTGGTGACTAGTGATTACCTTCCATTCAGTCCGATGATGATAACCGTGTTCTTTTGCTGGCCAAATCCAACAAGGTACTGCGAGCCTTCTGGCAATCGGAACTGAGCCACAGACCACTCTGAGCTGAAATACTTTGGCAACACACCTGCAGATTACAAACCCATATGGTTATACGTCAAACATTGAGAGAAAATGGATTATTCGCCAGATGAACAACTTCTATCATCCTAAAGCATTATCACTACTCACCCATCTGATGATAAAAGGTGAAAGGTTATATAGATCCTAATGAGCTAACATTGACGATTCATTTTAGCCCAATGCCCGGTTCAACCAATCTCATCACTAGACCCAATTAGCACCCGCATTACACGTGACCATCCTAATTCATTTCTTCTTCCAGCTAATTTGAGGGCTACATATTTCTGCCTCTAATTATCTATTAGTTCGGATGAATCGACACACTAACATGGATAATTTGGGAAGAACTAACTTACAGTGATGAACTTAGTGACTGCTAAATTAAATATTCTGAATAATTAAGTTGTGTCACTGATTTGATAGTGACCTAAACTTTATGACCATGTATGTGAGTGTGACTGAAGCTCGTGAAACCCCAACAGCACATGACACAAGAACAGGGCTCTTACCTTTCAAGATGGAAAGAGATGAAATGCCCAAACCATTGGAAGGATTCTGAGCAGCCACCACTTGTGATCGATCATTTGTCAGTGTTGCCAATGACCCTGAATCGACCTTGAGGCTGAAGACATGGATGGTTCCCTTGTCACTAGAGACCGCTAGCCAATGAGCATCCGAGGAGAATGCAAGGCTGTAGATTTCTGCTCTGTCTGCGCCTCGCCTAACCTGAGATCCAGCAACATCTCCAATTAAAACAAGCAAGAACCAACGTCTATAGCTTAGGAATAAGTAGAATTATACCACCAATTCACAAGCAAGGTTCTGCGCCAGTATTAAGTTCTAAACACCAGAAGAACTTGATCAGAGTGCCTGTGACGTACTAATTAATAATTTATATCAGCCATGAATATCTAAAATTCATCTATGTCCACAAGACTAGATCATCAACTTACAAGCACACGTTGGTCCATTATTATGTTCCTAAATACCAGAACAATAGAACTAATGGACAATCGGCCATGTCATATCTAACATTCATCGACACCCTTCCTTAATCCTTACCAATTCAGCTGACCAGTTCAAAGCATTTGGCAAGCACATTCTCCAGGCAGTGAGTTCCATCCAGGTTTTTCACTACATGGCTTGTATCAGTATTGTGAAAATGCAAGACCACAACTCACAAGCACGCTTGCTTGCCTCAGTATCAAGTTCCAAATACCAGAAGAATTGAAAAAACTCTTTTTTTTCCCCGGTAACAGGCAGACACAAACAGCGTCCAAAGCTTAAATTAATATCGAGAGTTCCTGGGTAATACCCATAATATCATAGTTAGCCAATATCTAAACTCCGTGTTGCACTCATCGAATAGATGTGTGCCAAAAGGAACAGAGTGACCCCTCCTAGCAAGAAAATCGGCAACAAAATTACGTTCTATCAGAATGCTTGTGATATACTAATTAACCATGAAGCAATTGCATATAAAAAATTCACCCAAAATCCACACCAATAAATATCAAATACAAATGTAGTTGAAGCCATACGCCACCACATCAATTGAGCACTGAATTGAATCTGGGTTTCTAACAACAATGCTTGTATCAATATCTAGGAAATCGGTCAAGAGGAATCTGAAATTCAATAGCGGCAGTCTGAGTCCAGCTAACCAGTTCATAGCATAAGCTAAACTGAAATGAATCCGGGGTTCATTCCACTAAATTATCTCTATTATCAGCACCCATGACAAAAATAACTAAAAGGGGTGAGCTTTCTTACCTCCTGAAGCAAGGAACCATCCAAGGCATTGAAAACTCGAACCAAAGTGCCTTTAGTGCTCGCAGTGGCTAGCAACCTCCCATCTTGGGTCATACTCATACAAGCTAGCCTGGAATCATGTGCCATCACGAATTTGGTCCTCTTCGAACCATAATTCTCTATCCTAATTTGCCCCTTCTGCAAGCCAGGGCACGCCAGGACCATCGGCGACGAAGTATGCGAAACCTCACAAATCCCCTTACTGTTCAAAGCCGTCTCAATCTGATGCACGAGCCTCAAATCCACGAAATTGTAGACGAAAATCTTCTGAGCCAGCACGACAATGATCTTGTCGCGCCGAATTCTCACGTTCCTCACTTCGGAGCGGAAGGAGAGCTCGCCGAAGCACCGCGATAGGTGGTCGTCCCAGATCATGACCTTGTTCGCCGGGTAGAGCGGCTCGGTCCCGCCGCCGACGAAGCAGAGCACGTTGCATCGGAAGAGCATGGCTACGAGCCCGATTCCGCCGCGCGAGGAGGAGGAAGAGGGGGAAGAACTAGAATCCATGTCGCGGCGGAACAGGGCCTTGAACGGGTCGGCGTTGTAGATCCGGAACCCGTTGTCGAGGCCCGCGACGAAGCATCCGTAGTCCTGGTTGAAGGAGAGGTGGTAGACGGAAGGGACCTCGGCGACGGGGGCGGGGTCTTCGAGGGGTGTGAAGAAACCAGCAGCGGCGGAGGAGAAAGAATCGTCGGAGACGGAATCGGAGTCGGGCGGGATGGAGTAGAGGCTGGCTGAGGAGGAGGAAGCGGAGGAGCAGGCGGAGAAGGTGATAGGGGAAGGGCTGGCCATGAAAAATTGGCCGAGTGGTGGTGAATTAGGGTTAGGGAACGGCGGCGACGGTAGTGGCGGCGGTTGTCATCAGGGAAAGGAGTCGGAGAGATTTTTTTTTATTTTTTTAGGAGGGAGTGAAGGGAATACGCTTTTTTTTTTTTTTTTGAAACAAATGACGGGAATACGCGAGGGGAACTTTATGCAAGCGAGGGACACGTGGCAGCATCGGATCGTTAATCGTTATGATTACGACCCGCGGAGCGATGCGAAGAGCATATCCTAATCGGATTTGGTTTTGTTTCTGATCTTCTTTCGGGTAAATTACAAAAATGGTAACTGAATTTTGGAGCCACTCAATAGTGATTTATCAACAAAATCTACCAATACCGTAAAAAACAAAACAAAATTTAGAATATATCGACCTCAATAGTTACAATGCCATCGTTATCAAATAAGGTAGATGTTCATCAAAATTAATTTGAGTTACTTTACGAGAATGCTAGAGTTCAGTCTATACTCGAATCAAACTCATTATCCTATCCAATTTCATCCCACATGATCCGAACATCATCGTAACTTTATCCCCTTGTCAATCGCTAATTAGAGGGCATGTCAGTGATTAACTTGAGTAAAATGACACTAATATGTATAATTTAAAAAATTGTTATTTTAAATTGACGAAGACTGTTTATGCATAAATTGAGTAAGAAACTAGCCAAAATAATAATAAAAAAAAAGAGTTATTTCTAAGGGTCGTTTGGTTACCAAAGCTAAGATAGCCTAACGGTAAAGCTGCCGCGACAGTGAAGATTTGGGAGTTGCAGATCCCAGGTTCGAATCCAAGCAAGGCCCGTTGGTATTCCCGGAGGTACAAGGCTGCTGGGAGCGAAGCCCCATTGGCATCGAAATTGATTGCAGGTGGCCCCCAGGTTTAGTAGGACCCACTGTCACAAAGTGGCACGTGGGGTGAGGTTCCTGGGTAATAAAAAAAAGGGTATAATATACATGTATATAAGAAAATTAGTGTATTGTAGTTTACATCGTTTGGTTTCTGTGATAATTATTGTAGTATTTAGATAAATTATATGATTTTTTGGGTGAAATGTCACTTTTACCCTTTGTTTTTAATATAAAAAGGCAACACATAAAAAGGTAGAGACATATTTGGAAGAAGAAGAAGAAAACACAACAATCTCCATAAAACAATCTCAACGAATGCATTGTATTGTTTGCGCAGAAAATTCAAGCAAACAATGCATGTATTGTTTGCGCAGAAAATTCAAAAAAACGATGCATTGTGGACATTACATGCATTGTAACTATCCCAACCAAACTATCGCCTAAGTATAGTGATACATTCGTCGAAAATTTAAAAATTGAGTGGCTTGACTAGAGGTGGAAATCGGTACAATATCGGTATCCCAATGACAAATACCAAAATCTCGAGTACCGAATTACACCCTAAAATCAATCCCAATCCCAATCCCTAAATATTTCGGTATCCCAATCGGTATTATCGAATACAAAATTAATTACCTTTGAAATTAATAATTAAATATATAAATTAGATTTTATTGTTTAATTTAGGGTAAAGAGACTAAGCAAAGAGTCTTGAGTTGCCTAGAGCTAACATCTCAAGTTCTTGTAATTGGTAACCTTTAATTTGACGAATTTGAGGTTGAGAGACGACAAATACTAGTGTGAAATAGTGATATAATAATCTGTGTATAATTAAATGACACTCTTAATAGTTGAGGGCCGCATAGTAGTAAATGAGAGAGTCTAGTTGAGAGGAGAAAATACACACTATATTATATTTCGGTATTGATCGGTATTTCGGTATATACTGATCCCAATCCCGTAATCCCTAATACCGAATAACAATTGGAATTCAATCCCAATCACACGAAATAATACGTGTATTCGGTAATACCAAATATAAACAAATTCGGTACGATATTCGGTATATTCGATACAATATTCGGTATATTCCAAATATCTGTATCGAACTTCCAGCCCTAAATCTGATTGTGATCATTCCCAGTTTTGTGGTTGGTGCACGTGAGGAAGCAAGGACAAGTTTGACAATTTTCATGTTTCATCTAGTCGTTTTGTGCTTTGTTTAACCAATGTTTGTAATATGAATCGCTATTTGCCGCCCGTGCTTTTACTATTTGCCGCCCGTAGTTACAAAAATATGATGAATTTGCCCCTTCTCTAATTTAAACCCTAAACCTATCTATCCCCAACCCTCCCTCCCAAACATGGCCGCCGGCCACCTGTAAAATCTCCGCCGCCGGCCACCATAAACAACCTCCGTCGCCAACCACCCTAGTCACCAGAGACCACCTCCGCCGCCCGTCACCTTCTCACTCCCTCCCTCCCAAAACCACAGTCGTTATTCCCCTCCCCTCCCTCACCTCACGACAGAGATGGGTAGGCCGACGCTTGCAATCCGACGGTCGTAGAAGCTCGGTCCGTCGTCGGAATTCGGACGGGGTTCGCTGCCGGAGTTCGGACGGGGTCCGCCGACGGGAGACGGACGGGGTCTGCCGCCGGGAGTCGGACGGGGGCCGCCGGCAAGAGTCGGACGGAGTTAATTGTTTTTTCTAATACAGATTAATTTTTCTTTAATATTATTTAAGATTGTTACCAATTGGAAACAGAAAAATGGATTATGATAATAATTGACAACAAAATCAATCTCTCCTCAATTCTACCAACGGAATTAGGGGAACCAAAATTTAATAATTAATTACCTATTTTAATAGTAGTAGGTTATTTTAATTTAATCACTTAAGGTAATTTTTTTATTTTTTTGCGTAACGGAACCAAAAAATAACGGATCCAAAAAGAAGGGTTTGACCCAGATTAGAATTTGACTTAATTAATATTAAATATTTTATTAAATACCAAAATTTCTCTAATTAACCCATATATATATATTTCTCTAATTAACGTCCTATGGTAATTATGGAAATAATTAAATATAGTAATTAGTTCTCCAATTAACATCCCTAATTAACCCACGTCTAGGTTCAATTCCCTAATTGACACGACTAAGCCCATCAAAAGAAATTTTTTTATTATTAAAGACAATCCAAAAAAATTACTTAATGAAACAATACGTGGGTATGGGTTCAAATAATTATGTATTGATTTGTATTTTTTACCCGTAAAAGGCTTCACTAACTATTTTTTTGGGTTTGATTGATCGAAGAGCCATTTGGGGCAGAAATAAAGGAGTTTGTTGTGTTAAATAATTATAAAACAATAATAATCATTTAATAATACCAAGGAATTTTTTCCACCTCCGTGTATTTGATTGACAACCGAAAATAAGTTGTTATTAATTATTTCCATTTTTTTTTGGTAAAGTTATTAATTATTTCCTTAATCAAACCGAAAATCTATTTCTCTAATTACCGAGCGCCAATTTTGTAAACACTTAATTATGAGAATTATCTTGATAAAGATGAGAGTGAGAGAGGATTATAGGGAAATTAATTTGATAACTACTTATTGACGAGCGCCAATTAGGGAAAAGACATTGTATTAATTAATTTATTTTTCCTAATTAACCCATGTCCTAATTAGCTTTACATTCCCCATAAAAAAATAGCTATTACATTTCCCTAATCACTAATCTACTTGCACAAAACAAGATACTGAATTGATTGAGCAATTAATTAGTGGGCCGTTTCCATTATTAATTGACGTAATCACTAATAACTAGCATACAATGAATTCATTTGGAAAAAAGGAAGGTAACGTCTGACCTCCCAAGACCCAAGTCTAATTCCGGTCATTTCTTTATTAACAACCGAATTTTTTTTCCTTAATTAAAACACATGACAGTGATAAAATTATAAATATATTATTTTAATATATGGTGTGACCGGATTATAGTATAATGAGATTAGCATTTGATCAATAGTATAATGATATAATTAGTAAATTATGTATATTCGTTAACTTATACAAAGAAGCAAAACATCTCTTTCCCAATGTACATCTTCTATCCCTCCCAAACCCTAAACCCTTATTCCAACAAAATAGTTAACTGGAACCTCAATCCATTCATTCCTACTACGACATTGTTTTAGAAGCAAAATCATCTCTACCACCACTAACAATATTTGTTCGCATCATCGAAATACGCGTAGTAGGCTCAAGAAACACCTCGTTACGATCCACGGAGCCTCCAAAAACTAAGAAGGAAATTTCGACACTATTCATTTTTTTTTATTGGGACATTAAATCGAGAAACGGTTGATTCCACCACAATCCTCTCCACGTGTTAAGGGATCGGCGAGGGTTTCAACCATTTTTCATGTCCATGTCTCTAGTAATTGCGAAAAGATATTTTTGTTTGACCTTCAACAAGCCACAAAGAGCCCTCTCCGATCCCCGATTCCTTGGATAATGTTTGATAAAACGTAGCTTAGGAATGATCTAATTAACTATGAAATTAATGTAATTAAAAAAGGTTTAAACAAATTTAATAAGTATTTTATAACCATTCTACATAATTTAAATTAATTATCCATAATTTTTTAGAATACTTATGATAATTAATAATTAAATATACATACTTCTAGTAAGCATATTACAAAATACCAAAGAATATATATTTTAGAATATTTATGATAATTTATAATTATACTTAAATATACATATTTAAATTAATTATATATTAATTGTTGATCTTATAACTTATGGTAATTAGTTATTAAATAATGGATTCACCTCCCCATAGGCCATAACCCACGTCTAAATTCAGTTCTCTAATTAACTTACCAAATAATGTTTTTACAATTTTTATTCTTAATGGCTCTTTGATTGCTACAACGGAGTTAAGAGAATCAGAATTTAATAATTAATTACCCATATAGGAATCCGAATTCCTTACTGGCTCACTGCCATGAATTTTAATTAAGACAATTATTTCCCCTAATTAGCAATAAAATCCACATCCAAGATATTATTTTAGGTAGTTCTCGTATTTATGTCCGTCGGTTGAGTAGAATCAGTTTAGGTATTTAAATAAATAAATAAATAAGAAAAAAAGGCATCGGGCGCCGTCCGCTCGCCGGGTTCGGGAGCCATCCGCCGCCGCCGGTCGGACAGGGTCCGCCGCCGCCGATCGGAGGGAGGTGAGTAGGCAGAGGCGGTGGGGAGACAGACTCCGGCGTCGGGA